GTCGTTTCCTGCGGGTACCCAGTGGAGCCTACGGCGACCAGTGTACGGCCTGCGTCAGGCGCCCCGTGAGTGGCACGACACACTGAGGACGACACTTGCGACTCTTGGGTTTGCTCCTTCGACTGCTGACCCGTCGCTGTTTCTACGCACCGATACTACTCTGCCGCCGTTCTACATCCTCGTGTACGTCGACGATTTGGTTTTTGCTACCGCTGACACTGAGGCACTGGCCCTAGTGAAGGCGGAGCTGCAGGAGAGACACACCTGCACTGACCTGGGTGAGCTGCGGAGCTATCTTGGCTTGCAGATCACCCGGGACAGACCACGGCGCACCATCACCCTCACTCAGTCACACATGGTGCACCAGGTCCTTCAGCGCTTCCGCTTCACGTACTCCTCGCCACAGCCCACTCCTCTGCTACCGGCCACTCGCTCTCAGCTCCACCTTCGGACGAGTCCGTAGAGCCGAGTGGTCCGTACCCAGAGCTTGTGGGCTGCCTCATGTACCTGATGACGTGCACACGACCTGACCTCGCGTACCCTCTCAGCCTTCTGGCCCGCTACGTGGCACCCGGTAGGCACCGAAAGGTGCACTTTGATGCTGCGAAGAGGGTACTGCGTTACTTGTGCAGCACATCGGGCATGGGGCTCGTGCTTGGAGGACGGGGTTCGGTGGTCCTCACAGGACACTCTGACGCTTCTTGGGCCGACGACCAGGCGACTCAGCGTTCGTCACAGGGCTACACCTTCAGTCTTGGAATTGGTTCTGTCTCGTGGAGGTCCACTGGTTCTTCTTCTGTGCTTGGTTCCAGCTGTGAGGCCGAGATCTACGCTGGGGCCATGGCTGCACAGGAGCTCCGCTGGCTGACCTACCTGCTGACCGACTTGGGGGAGCGGCCTTGTTCTCCTCCAGTTCTGTACGTCGACAACAAGGCAATGCTTGCCTTGTGTCGCGAGCAGAGACTGGAGCACCGAACGAAGCACATTGCTCTTCGCTACTTCCTTGCGCGTGAGCTGCAGCAGCGTGGTCAGCTGCGCCTTGCTTTCGTGGCCTCTCGGGCCAACACTGCTGATGTCTTCACCAAGGCCCTTGGGGCTGGTGATCATCAGCGTTTCTGCACTGCTCTTGGGCTTGTGCCCACTCTGCCTCACATGCTGGTTGCTTGACTTGTTCTTGTTGTACACTGCTATATATCTTTATACCTTGCATGTTTTCTCTTGCTAGGTTGTGATCAGTAAACTGCCTTGCTATTCTATACCTCTGCATGTGAACTGGCCTTGTGGCCACTTTCTTGTGCTCAGAATGCGTGGTGACTTTGTGATCCACCCTGGGCTGTGTTCTCTTCTGCAGACTGGTCTTGTGACCGCTAATTGTGTTTGCTATCCCCTATTTTGCCTATGGGGGTGTGTCAAATTGCAATTGTATCTCTAGGCTACAGTAGGGTCACTCCTTAGTGAGTACAACACTTTAGGGTTAGCTTTCCCCTACTTGTACTCACCTCTTGCCTAGTTTAATCATTCACTCCTAGTTCTATTCTTGACAGAAGAAGGCCATCGCGAGCGTTCGTCGTGCAGGATCTGTCAGACGAGATGTCAGAAAAGACTGACCAGTACAGTGCGAGAGCACTCTCTCCCCCCCTTTGAAAAGGACTGCCACCCCAAAATCTCCGCGTGGCAGCATCGAATCACCCTGCTGCTGCAGAATCTTCGGTTGCCAGCATCTGCAACCCCGAAATTGCTGCTGTTCTGTTGTCGTGTTGCTGTGTCAAAATCCCCGCTGTAACTGCTCCAGCTGTCAGCACCTCCGGCGGTCCTGTCGTCACTCGCCGAGACCTTTGTCGCGTTGCTCCAAAAACTCCCGGGCAGAGGCGAAAACATCTGCTGCTCTTCCCCCTGACCTCGCAAATATTTTCCCAAGGTTGGACACGAACTGTCGATGACGTCAGTTACCTCGGCGATGTTGTCGTGACTCGCCGAAAACTTCCGGGCAGTGGCGAAAAACAGCTGTCGCCTCTCCCCCCTTGTGTAGCAAAACATCTTCCTTGTTGTCGCTGGTACCCCCGAGCAGCTTCCGATTTGTACGGCTACACATTTGACGACGAGTGCCTTCGCGCGCTTAATCAAGCACCGCTGCAACTCCGCCGCCGGCACGGATACTGTCAGCGACCCCGATGACTCCGTTAAGACTCATTCTCGGAACTGCTGGGTCCACCCGCAAATGTCGGAAATAACCACACCACGTAAAATCTTGGTCGCCTGCAGGCTGTCCCCCAAAAGAACCGGTGTTTCTAGCACGCCCACCCGGTCACCATTTTTTTTCGTGCGGTTAACCACCCAAGCGACCCACCAACAGGAGGTGCCTTTTCGGCGTGGAACCCAGTACTTATGGGTCTTCCGAGACCGATTTTCACGGACCCTAGCGCGCATCAACGCCGCAGATCTCGCAGTAGAACTTCCCCAGACCGCTTCGAAGTACACCGTAAAACGCTTAAACAGCTGGCGAGCAGACGTCACCCGTCTCCCACCGTCGAAATTGCACCCGAAATTCATGGTTGCGGAATCAAGCCCCGAAGTATTTTCTGCCTTGTGGCCCCGACGTTTCCGCCGTTAACCCTGGTACTCCGACGTTCACCCATCTTCGTACCCGTCGAGATTACTTAGAAACCAGGCATCCTTGGCAATACACCCCTCGCCGCGCCTCCATGTAACAGTATCAAACCCTTTCGGGTGTCTACCGAATAGACTCCAAAATTCGCGGTGGAGTGGTGTACGGGCTCCGCCTATCACTCAAGTAGCTTGAAGCGGCACCCACAACTTTCCCTCCTGTTTTTATTTTCACCCCCCGACAATTTCGCTTGCCGCCGTTCACCCAGCGTCCGCTTTTGTCGGATGAGGTATTCTTCGTGTTGACCCGCGATGTTTCTGGCGTTCGATGAAGGCGCGAACGCAATCGTAGTCGGAGCGAGTTTATCATATCAAACTCTCAGCCGGCCGCTTCGCTGCCCACCGTGCCTATCGCATTTAAAACCCCGCAGTTTCGAGAACTCCATCTTCGCTGCTACACCGCCGTTGGGTAAACCGTTGAATCAGGAGAAACACCGCCAGCTGCCACAATTTCTTCAGTCCCGACTTTTTCGGCAGGGGAAACTTTGCCGATGGTCCGTTTTTGTCGGGGCCGAACAGTGTCGCACTACAAAATGTTTTCTTGTACGCCCTGCTGTCGAACCAGCGCCACCCACGCCTTTCTAACCAGCACAGGGCTAAAACACAGGGCCCCACTTTATTCGTCCAGGACCAACATGTCTTATAACGCCTTCGAGGTACCTGGTGTGAGGTATGTGAAACGTCGGTAGACTTGGTCGGTAGGGAGCTCCTTCTGCTACCGCCGCTTAGCCGTGAGACTCGGCCTCAGCAAAAGTCGTCGCTGTAGGTCGTATTCTCCCCTCCTGAAGTCGGAACCCGTTTCTCTCGCCGGACCCGTATTAGTCGCAACTCCGTTTATTGTAGCCGGTAGAACCCCCGAAAAGCGCGGGTCTAAACGCTGCGCCGAGTCGTTGTTCCGTGGTGTACTGGGCTGTCTGCAAACACAGGTACCTCTGGCCGGAGGGAACTGTGCCGCCTGAAGTGCAGAATCGGCTGCCACTGTTGCTTCCGAAATTTTCGCCAATTGCTATTGTGCCAGAAACAGTCACCCAAGCCGGAACAGTCTCGTCGTAGGCGGCCTTTTCCGAACTTTTCGGTGGTTTGAAGAACAACTTCCGTCCCACACTGTGCCGCTCAACGCCCACGACGCACCCTCCTGCAGCAACACCTGCCGCACCCGGGCGGGATGACGGTAGACCCCCGCTTTCTTCGGGCAGTCGCCACGCCGCCTCTCCTCGCCGTCGTTTTTTCCGACGCAAATCACACATTGCGCCTGGCTGCTCGACCAGCAGTCGTTTTCCACGTGCTGCTACTCCGAAATCTTCGCGCACAGTGACGACGCGCCACTTGCCGAAGACTTCCACCAGCTCGTGCGCAACGTGACGAAGACGCCCATCGCCACTTGACGCACGCAGCTAGCTCCGAAATTGTCGCGCGCAGCTGTCGACCACGTGCCGACGCAACTCGCCTTGCTTCCGTCAATTTCGGACGTTGCGCCGACGACGATCCTGCCGACGTCAGCCGCTACTCAGAATCAACTCTGAAAATGACGAAACAAACACTGTTAAACTTACGCATTAAATGCGACGACAGCAGAAGTTGTCCGCCACCCGGGGGGAGGGAGGCCACGGTCCATCTCGACCGTCGAGGGCAAGGATCCGTCGGTGCCGCAGGAGCGCCTGTAAAAACATGGCCGCTAGGAGCAACTACCCGTTGTCCTGGCCGGCTACTGCACTGCTCCTCTCACCACGGCATCCTTCCCTGCCCCCCCCCCGAGGGGTATTACACTCTAAAAAACGGGGAAGCTAGGAAAGTAGCTCTGATACCAAGTGTTATGAGTTTTACTAGACAGAGGGCGCGGAAGACTTCTATAAAGAGAATGAATTACGGAATGATCAAGAATGATAAAGGAGCACGCATTTATAGGGTCGAAACCGTGCTAGGCGAGGACCTCGGGACGTGGGTGGGTTGGATGTGTCGCGATTGGTGCGGGGCGACTCGGCATTGGTTCGGTGCGAAAGTGTAGGCCGAGCCATCCTGACGCGAAGTGCTCGGGCTGTCCTCGCTAGGAGCAGCCCCTACAGTAATGAATTGGGTATTCATTACAAGTTGAAACACAAGAAACCAACATAGAAACCTGAAGATTGTAGAAGCACCCTCACAGCAATAATGAAAGAACACAAGAAGCACGCTCAGCAAGAAATGCTAATATTTGTGTATACAGCTCAAGACCGCTGCGAGGCCTTCACCAAATTGTTCACGAGACGCATACGGTAGTGGTGACGGCAGCAAGGGTCTCACAAGGGCCAATGCATCAAACATCTATCAATTATGGGGCGTCTAAACTCCAATCAAAATTACACTCCTCGTATAATCACACCAGCCCTCAGGAACACCCTTCTAGCTCTCTCTGTCACTTTCCCCTTCTCCACCTTCAGCCACCGTAACTTCGGAAAGCTCCCAAAAATGCCCCCGATGCTCTCCGCAGTCACCTTGGGACATGCTACCACACTGAAACGCGTGAGCTTTTTCAATCTACTCTCCGAAATCACCCGGTCGGAGAACGCGTCGTTGTAGTCCACAAGGAGATGCTCCAAACGAGGAGAGGACTGCAAGATCGCATGGAAATCACTTTCTTCGAGCCCCGAGCACGCGTGCAGCGAGAGCCGTCTCAATAGCCTAAATGCGATGAGCAACGGGGGAGGCGAAGGGGCGGTGGAGGGTAGGGAGACTCGAGCATCCAGGGCAAAGGCGAAGCAGTGAAGGCAGAGCGACTCCAAAGGCACATAAGCTGCCTCCACAGGTGCAGATGCCTGTGTGGAGCTAACAAGGGGCCCCTCGGGTGCTGAAGTGTACAATACAGTTGCGTCTAGTCCGTCTCCCCTTCCTCCTCCATCTGCTCCTCCTCTTCCATGCCGTTCCCCAAACCCCCTTCTAAACAGCACATTAGAAAATATAAACACCAAATGCTGAGGCCGTTGAAGCCGCCCTCCACTCAGCATACCAGCAATATCCCACAGTGACCCTTTTCCATATTCCAACCGCAGCGCCTTCAGTTGCGTGCACCCCTCAAGCATGCCCCCACTCAGCACCGGCACGCCGCTAAGCGTCAGCGTTTCTAAAGCGCCAGCGACGGGTTTTAGCGCCATCTCAACCCCCCCAGGCATGAAGAGACGCAAGCTGCCCCGTAGGGAAAGAGACGTGAGGGATGAATTAGCAGCGGTCAGAGCGGCCACCGCATAGGAGGGAATCATGGGGCAGTCTTGTATGGTCAGGTGGGTGAGTGTGTGGAGGGAGCGCGAAAGAGAGTGCATTTCAGGGGGACCGATTTGCGAGCATGAGCAGAGAGCGAGGGAGGAGAGGAGGGGGAAAGCACCGAGGGATGCGAGGGAAGTTCTGACTGATGCTGATGTGAGGGTGAAGGACTGGAGGGCGGGGAGAGAGGAGGAGGAGGAGGAGGAGAGGGAGGAGAGGAGAGAATCGGTGAGGTGCCAGAGGGAGAGAGAGGTGAGGGAGGAGCAGAGGGAAACGGAGGAGATCTGCGCTGGAAGGCCGTCTAGGCGGTAGAGCGTGAGGGAGAGGAGCGAGGGGAAGGCGGAGAGGGGCGGGCCGACTGCTGCGGCGGAGACCAGGCGGAGCTCCAGCGCCTTGAGCGCGCTGGTAGGGTTGGGGGGAGGGGGCGGGGCGGAAGGGGAGGGGGAGAGGGGAGAAGGGGAGGTGTGGAGGGTAAGGGTGAGGGGAGGAGAAGCTGAGAAAGACGAACCAAAACGGAAGACACACAAATTCAGCTGCAAAGCACAGCACGAAGTTTGGGGCGCCTCCAGAGCCCGAGACGAGAATTTACTCGACTAGTAATGATAAAGAGGTTATGCATAGATTTCAAATTAGGTTATGCATAAAATTCAAAATACGTTATGCATAAAATTCAAAATAGGGCACACACCGGCACTTCGAACTGAACGTCCTCCATCCATCATCCGTCATCTCCTCGCATCCTACGAGGCTCAGCCGTTCTAGCTGCGAGCATCTCGATCCGACGGCCAGCAACAGCTCATCGCCGACCGTCGATTTCCCTCGATCGTTGATTACGGACAGATCCTCGAGATTCGCGCATCGTCGAAGCAGCGATTCGAGAATCTGGACATGGGGGGTCCCCTGGCGGGCCTTGTAGGTCAGGGTCCGGCGAGAACGGTTTTCGAGTTCGCGAAATCGCGAACAGGAGAGTGCGACGTTTCGCCGATCGGGGGGATTTTCGAGCTGACGTACGATCGACGTCAGCACCTCGTCGGGGAGATCGAGGACGAGAGCAGCCCCGCGCCGTTTCATGGCTCCTAAGTAAAAAAAAAAAAAAAAGCTGATGCTAAATGAAAGCTAAGAGAACGGCGGCTCACGGTGCCAAACTCGGCCTTGACATTCCAGCGTTGAACCTAACAACGAAGCGTCATTATTCTTAGCCTAGAGGCGGGTAGAGCGGCGGCTATTTGGAGCTTCCAATCCAATCCGCTTCACGGACTAAACTAGCAGCAGAACCTTGGATCTTACGCGGTTCGGGGTCGGTATCTGTGGTGCTGGATGGCAAACGAGAACGACGAAGCATTGTTTTTCGCGACAATTCGCAGAAACGTGCTGGAGGACCTTTCTTAAAGCGAAGGCGAACAAAGTTACACTGGGTGTGGCACAATCACCTCCAGCGAAGTGCTCTCGACAGCTGAACTGAATGTTCATTCGATTAGTATTTTTTCTACACTTGCAAGCGGTTGAAGTACACAAAATGCTCAACAAAAAAACCAAAAGAACAAATGTAGAATAACCCACAGGTAAAAATAAAGAACACTTGAAGCATGGTCGTCGAGATAGGCTAATCTGATGGATGCAGCTCAAGACCGCTGTGAAGGCCTTCGGCACACCAACCGTATCGGAACACCGGGGAGAAAAAAGGATGCCAACAAGGCAAAAGAAAAGACACGCTGCTTATAACGGCTTTGCTTGGCATTGCGGCGGCAGAAACCCTTCAATCTAGGCTCGTGTGGATTGATTTGCTGAACGAGACTGTGACTCAGATCTGCACAGCAAGCCCTGTATCCTCCCGTTTCACAATTCCATTTTTCTCCTCTGCTGCCCTTCTCTCCAATCTCCACAGCAATCCATCTCTACTGCACTCAACTCCATCTCTACTGTCAAATGTTGAACATTGATATGATAGGCTATAGTGAGTTGCACTCTAGGGGGTACAGCTTCTAGGGTTGCTCATTTGTACCCCATTCGTTTCTATTCCAATCATTCCGTTGTTCGCTAACTTTGAGATGGTATCATGAGTAGGTGTCGATCCTCTCGCCTAGCCTAGCCTAGCTCGCGCCCTAGCGCCCTCCGCGCCCTTGCGCCCTAGCACACTCCGCACCCTCCGCGCCCTCCGCGCCCTTGCGCCCTAGCACCCTCCGCGCCCTCCGCGCCCTCCGCGCCCTCCGCGCCTTAGCCACCGCGCCCTCCGCGCCATCTCCGCGCCTTAGCGCCCTCCTCCTCCGCGCGTTAGCGCCCTCCGCGCCCCTAGCCTGCGCCCCTAGCCCGTCGCCCAGGCCCACGCCCTAGCCCGTCGCCCAGGCGCCCGCCCTAGCCCGTCGCCCAGGCGCCCGCCCTAGCCCGTCGCCCAGGCGCCCGCCCTAGCCCGTCGCCCAGGCGCCCGCCCCAGCCCGTCGCCCAGGCGCCCGCCCCAGCCCGTCGCCCAGGCGCCCGCCCTAGCCCGTCGCCCAGGCGCCCGCCCTAGCCCGTCGCCCAGGACTGCGCCCTAGCCCGTCGCCCAGGCGCCCATCCTAGCCCGTCGCCCAGGCCTGCGCCCTAGCCCGTCGCCCAGGCGCCCGTCCTAGCCCGTCGCCCAGGCGCCCGTCCTAGCCCGTCGCCCAGGCGCCCTCCCTGGCTCGTCACCCCAGCCCCGCAGGCAGCGCGCCACGCGGGTAGCGCGCCCCGCGGGTAGCGCGCCCCGCAGGAGGCGCGCCCCGCGGGTAGCGCGCCCCGCAGGCAGCACACCCTGCAGGCAGCGCACCCCGGGGTGCTTTAGTGCCAGAAAATAAATAAATAAATTAAACCCTAAAAAAAAAAAAAAAAAAAAAGGGGGTTCACAGTGGGGGCCTGCGACTGTCGCCCGCGTTCCTGCTTGCCGGACGACCTGCACAGTTGCCTACATCCCGCAGCCGTCAGTACTGCAGCCCCTACTGTCGCACGTACTTTCCACTGCCAGTGGCTCTACTAGCGGCAGCCGACAGCCGCACTTACGGTCTCTAGCCCCGGCCGTTCCTACCTCCAGCCAGCCCTGGCCCTGGCGCTTCTAGCTCAGTTTGCTCCGTGCTCCAGCCGTTCCTCGCCTAGTTTCACCTGGCGCTCCTAGCTTAGTTCGCTCCGTGCTCCATCAGTTACTCGCCTGGTTTCACCTGGCGCTCCTAGCTTAGTTCGCTCCGTGCTCCAGCAGTTACTCGCCTGGTTTCACCTTGCGCTCCTAGTTGTTCTCGTTTTTCACAGCAGCCTGTCGCTCCTGTCGCTCCTAGCCTGCCGCTCCTGCACCCCGCTAGCTTTTATCATGGAGTCCGCTAGGGTTCTCCAGCAGCAGGGACAGCAGCAGCGGCCTTTTCAGCAGTGGCTTCCGCAGTGGCAGGGGCGCCCTCAGCAGCTGTGGCGCCCATGGGGGCCTGGTGGTTCAGGTCGCGTTGGCTGCAGCAGCGGCCCAGCCAGCTGGGGGGCTCGTCGCGGTGGCCGCGACGTCGGCCCCTGCCAGTACCGGATCCTGACCGGCCCTGGTGCTGGCACTACCTGCTGGCGTCCTGACCACTCTGCACAGCGCTGCTACAGCCGCCTCGACGACCTTTACCGTGAGCGTTTTGGGCCTGAGTCGGCTCCCCCGATCTGGCCTGGTCTGTTTCGTAGTGGTTTCCCTGTGTTTGATATGTCTATGGATGCTGTTTATTCTGTCACGTACGGATCTCTTGGCTTACGTGTACCTAGCTTAGGACCTTTGCCTGTTGCTAGTGTCGGTACTTGTGCTTTTAGTGTAGGTGCTTGTGTAGTCACTAGCCCAGCCGTGACGACTGCTGTTGCGTCGCTCTCCTTCACGCTGGACTCCGGCGCGTCTCAGTGTTTCTTCCGCGACCACACCACTGTCACACCTCTTTCGGCTCCAGTCCCAGTTGCCCTGGCTGATCCTACTTCAGGACCAGCAGTTGCTCGTAGCTCGACCACCCTCCCGTGCCCGGCTGTCCCCTCTGGTTTCCTCACTGGTCTCTACATCCCCTCGTTCTCTCGGAACTTGGTGGGTGTTGGATACCTTCAGGACCGGGGGATCACAGTCACTTTTCCTGCGCACGGGAGGACTGCGATCTGTACGGACTCTTCCACTGGGGCAGTTCTTGCCACGTTCACCAGAGAGCCCCACTCAGGTCTCTTCGTCCTGCACACTCCGCCCCCGCAGGTAGCTGCGTCTGGTCAGGTTGCTTCGTCCCCCCCGGTAGCAGAGTCCGGTCAGGTGGCTGTGTCCAGTCCGGTCGCTGTGTCCAGTCCAGTCGCTGCGTCTTGCTCCTGTCGCTCTCTCGCCCACCGCACCGTCCTGTGGCACCACCGTCTTGGCCACCCGTCGATCCCTCGCCTTCGTGGCATGCTCAGTCAGGGACTAGTCACAGGTCTCCCACGCACCTTCCCGTCGCTCCCTCCCTCGCTTGCCCCTCCTTGCTCTCCGTGCGTCGCCGGTCGCTTACGTGCCACTCCCCACTCCTCCTCCCTTCGTCCGGCCACCGCTCCCTTCGAGACTCTCCACTTGGACGTCTGGGGCCCTGCCCCGACGCAGGGGTCTGGGAGGGAGCGCTACTTTCTGGTGGTCGTCGACGACTTCTCCAGGTACACCACAGTGTTTCCTCTTGGGAAGAAGTCCGAGGTGACTGCTACGCTGATCAGGTGGCTTCTAGCCACTGAGGGCACTCGTGGTCGTCGAGTCAGTTGTCTTCACTCCGACCGTGGGGGCGAGTTTCGCTCCGGCATTCTCGGCGGATTCTGCGGCGAACAGGGCATCACCCAGTCCTGGACGCTGCCAGAGTCCCCACAGCAGAATGGGGTTGCTGAGCGCCGCATAGGCTTGGTCATGGACATCGCCCGCACGTCCATGATTCATGCCCGTGCGCCCCATTTTCTATGGCCTCACGCGGTTCGCTACGCCGCACACCAGCTGAACCTCCAGCCGCGTGTCTCGCGGCCCGAGGCTTCACCGACCAGTCTCTGGACTGGATCCCCTGGTGTTGGGTCGGCCTTTCGAGTCTGGGGCTGCCTTGCACTTGTTCGCGACACCTCCGCGGACAAGCTCTCGGCACGCGCCGTCCCCTGTGTCTTCCTTGGTTTCCCAGTGGACTCTGCTGACTGGTCCTTTTACCACCCTCCCCTCCACCAGTTCCTAGATTCCCGTGACGTCCGGTTTGACGAGTCCGTGTCCTACTACACCCGGTACCCCTGTCGAGGTCTCCCGGTACCCCCTCCCCCTCTCTTCCTCGCACCCTCTCCTCCTCCTGCTCCCGCTCCTCCGGTACCCCCGCCCCCCCCTGGTCCTGCCCCGTCTGGTGTGTCCCACGCTACCCCTCTCCCCTCGGTCGCGCGTCAGGTAGCGTCTCCCTCCCCACAGTCCTCCTCACAGTCCCCTCAGCAGCCTTCTGCACTTCCGCGACAGGTTACTGTGGACTCGGTTGGTGTTGGAGCTGGAGGTGCAGCCGCTGGCGGTGCTCGGTCTGGGGGTGCTCGGTCGCGGGGTACTGGAGCTGGAGGTGCTGGCGCAGGTGACGCTAGCTCTGGGGGTGCTGGAGCTGGAGGTGCTGGCGCAGGTGGCGCTAGCTCTGGGGGTGCTGGAGCTGGAGGTGCCGGCACTGGAGGTGCTGGTTCTGGGGGTGCTGGAGTTGGGGGTGCTGGCACTAGCGGTGCTAGTTCTGGGGGTGCTGGAGTTGGAGGTCCTAGCACTGGCGGTACTGGTTCTGGGGGTGCTGAGTCTGAGGAGACTGACGCTGGAGACCCTGGTTCTGCGGAGTCCACCCCGCCCCCCCACCGCCACGACACGCGTCTCCAAGCTGCCCGTCGGCGTGAGCGTGAGGAGCAGGAGCGGTTGGAGAGGGAGCGGCAGGAGCTGCGGGTGCTGGACCTTCTGGAGCAGCAGCGGCAGCAGCAGCAGCAGCAGCAGCAGCAGCAGCAGCAGCAGCAGCAGCAGCAGCAGCAGCAGCAGCAGCAGCAGCAGCAGCCGCAGCCGCAGCCACAGCCGCAGCAGCAGCAGCAGCCGCAGCCGCAGCCGCAGCGGCCGCAGCCGCCACCGCAGCTTCCTCTAGAGCGGCGGTTGTTCCCACCTGTGAGTGGCTTGCGGGCCCTTGGCCTTTCCTCCTCTCCTCCTGTCCGCTCCCAGTCTCCTCCTGTGTTTGTTCCTCCGTTGCCTCCTCCTGACGACCGTCCGGCGGTCTGGTCTTCTCCTCCTCCTCAGTCTCCTCCTCCCTCTGTCCGTCGCGACTTGATCACTCGTTGTCCTCCGCGTGCTCGTCACTCGTCCCCTGTTACTGACCTCCACACTGCCCTCCTTTGTTCGTCTCGTCGTCGTTCTCCTTCTCCTGTGTCCGTTCTCCCGTCTCCTCCTCCGTCCTCTCTACCTGCCCTCCCCACTCCTATCTCTGACTACTACCGCGCTGTTCGTCCTGTTGCCGCACGTGTCCTCACCACTCTTGTCACCGACCCTCGTTTCCCTCCGTCGTCTGTCTCGGCTCTCACTGCCGCTGTCGCTGAGTTTGCTGCCGCCAGCCGCCTTGACTACGCCACCCGTGTGGTGCCAGCTCCTCCCTACCTTCCTCTGTCCGTCGGGGGTGGGTTTGCCCTTGGCTGTGACGTCCTAGAGGACAGAGAGTCTGAGCTGGAGTACTGGGCAGCCGCTTCTCCCTCTGTGTGTGCCATGCTGCTCTCCCCTGAGGGAGACCCCGACGCCCTTGACATACCGACTCCTCGCACTTACCGCGAGGCAGTGTCAGGGGCGTGGGCCTCTCAGTGGAAAGCGGCTATGGACTCAGAGTTGGCGTCTTGGAGATCCACAGGCACCTACGTCGACGCAGTTCCCCCTCCCAGGGCGAACGTAGTCGATGGCATGTGGCTCTTCAAGGTGAAGCGGCCGCCTGGAGCACCGCCGGTGTTCAAGGCGCGCTACGTGGCTAGGGGTTTCAGTCAGCGTGAGGGAGTTGACTTCTTCCAGACCTTCGCCCCGACCCCGAAGATGACTACTCTTCGGGTGTTACTCCACATAGCAGCGCAGCGAGACTACGAGCTGCACTCCCTCGACTTCTCCACTGCGTTCCTCCAGGGCCGACTGCACGAGGAGATCTGGCTGCGCCGTCCTCCTGGCTTCACTGACACCTTCCCACCTGGGACCCAGTGGAGCCTGAGGCGACCAGTCTACGGTCTCCGCCAGTCGCCCCGTGAGTGGCACGACACTCTTCGCTCCACGCTTTGTGACCTTGGGTTCAGCCCGTCCTCCGCCGACCCGTCGCTGTTTGTTCGAGCGGGTTCTACTCCTTTCTTTATCCTTGTCTACGTCGACGACTTGGTGTTTGCTACAGCAGACAGGGCAGCCCTGGCTCAGGTGAAGTCCGAACTGCAGAAGAGACACAAGTGCACTGACCTGGGTGAGCTGCAGCGCTACCTTGGCCTGCAGATCACCCGGGACGGAGCCGCTCGCACCATCACACTGACGCAGTCACACATGGTGCAGCAGGTCCTTTGGCGGTTCCACTTCCAGTTCTCCACCACACAGCCCACTCCTCTTGCTGTTGACCACAAACTCACGGGCCCCTTTCCTGACGAGCCCTTTGAGTCCAGTGGACCCTACGCAGAGCTGGTGGGCTGCCTCATGTACCTGATGACTTGTACTCGACCGGACCTCGCCTTTCCACTCAACATCCTTTCTCGCTTTGTTGCGACTGGGAGACACCGCCCTGTCCACTGGACAGCTGCTGTGAGGGTGGCGAAGTACCTGGCGACTACATCATGCTTGGGGCTTGTGCTTGGAGGGACTCAGCCAGTGGCGTTGACTGGTCACTGCGACTCTTCCTACGCTGACGACGTGGAGACTCAGCGTTCGACTCAGGGTTACTGCTTCAGTCTGGGAGCTGGTGCTGTGTCGTGGAGGTCTACACGGTCGTCGTCTGTGGCTACTTCCAGTGCAGAGGCAGAGATCTACGCTGGTGCCATGGCGGCACAGGAGCTTCGCTGGTTGACCTTCTTGCTCGCTGACCTTGGTGAGCGGCCTCGCTCTGCACCGACCTTGTACGCTGACAACAAGGCCATGATCCTCCTGTGTCGAGAGCCTCGACTGGAGAGCAGAGTGAAGCATATTGACGTGAGGTACTTCCTCCTGCGAGAGCTGCAGCGACGCGGTCAGGCACGCCTGGACTTTGTGGCCTCAGAGGCCAACACTGCAGACGTCTTCACCAAGGCCTTGGCGCTTGGTGACCACCACAGGTTCTGTGTGCAGTTGGGGCTTGTTGAGGTAGGCCCTCGGTTGGTGTAGTCCTGTTGCTTGCTCTGCTTGTTGTGCTTTGTATTTATATCCTAGTGAACTCTTGAACTGGCCTTGTGGCCGCTTGCTTGCGCTCGGAATTTGCGTGGTGTCCTTGAGATCCACCATGAGCTTGCCTTGGTTCTTGGTTTGACTGGTCTTGTGACCGTTTGTTCACCTTGCTTGCTTTGATGCCCCTCACTTAGCCTATGGGGGTGTGTCAAATGTTGAACATTGATATGATAGGCTATAGTGAGTTGCACTCTAGGGGGTACAGCTTCTAGGGTTGCTCATTTGTACCCCATTCGTTTCTATTCCAATCATTCCGTTGTTCGCTAACTTTGAGATCTACCCCTCCAATCTTATATGCACCTCTCTGTCCCTCCCTCGCCAGTTCAGCACCTGCTCGCCCCAGCAGCAGCAGCGGTCAGCTGCGGCTGGGCCGAAAGCAGCGAAAAACAATGGGGGGGACGAGAACAAAAAGCGCACGGATGTGCAAGCAACCACACGCACACGCAAGCAACGTACATGCAAGCCCACACTGAGGTCGGCCCACACGTGTGGTGCCAAAACAGGAGAGCACAGACAGTTGCAGGACTCAGAACTCCCCATGGGATGGGAGCAACACAACAGGGTGCGCAGCGCAGTGCACTGTGCTTGTCAAAACCACGTGCTGCTGCTGTGGGTGGTGCCGGTGCCAGTGCGGTGTCAGTGCTGACGCTGGGCCTGTGCCTGAGAGTGCTCTGCTGCCCCTGTAGAGACTGCTTCGTTAGAGAGCGCCTCAGTAAAAGGGTTGTTCACTTTAGATGGCTGGGAGGGCTCTTTTGCCGACCTAGGAACTCGTAGTTGATCTCAGCCAATTGTGAGAGGTTCTGAAAGAGGGATTGAATAAGAAAGGGGGGGAGAGCAACGAGGAATGGGGGAGGGGTAGGGAGGGGAGAGTGAGACGAAAGCATGAAAGAGCTGTGAGGGAGGGTTCTGGGGTGAAGACACCTTGCTACACGGTTCAACACTCCGAAAGAACGCAAGAGCGAATGGGTACCACACGCACGCACACACACAATCACACGGAGACGAATGCGAAAGGCGAGCGGCACGAGTGCACACACCGGGCCATGCCCCAAACAAGCAGCAGCAGCAGCATCGACATCAGGATGCTGATCAGCATCAGGAGTCTCATCAGCAGCAGGATGCTCATCAGCATCAGGACCAGCATAAGCATCAGCATCAGCATGAGCAGCAGCAGCAGTGCGCACCTTGAAAGAGAAGTTGGTGAAGGCAGCAGCAACATTGTCTGAGAAGTTCCTCATGTCTCCGGGCTCGTCCCCCTGCCACCCACCACCATGCAGCACAGCACAGCACAGCACAGCACAGCACACACAGAGCCAAGCAGGCAGCAGCAAGCAGAGGCAAACAAACACATGGCGAAACAAAGACACAGGCACGCAGGTGAATAGCCGTTCACTCCCGCACTCCTCCCGACCCCATGCCCTGAGACCGAGAAACTTACTCCTCCCAAACCCTGCCTCAATTCTCCACTTGTTCTCGCTCTCGTCCTCACCTACTCACCCCAGCGCCCTCACCTGCTCACCCCAGCGCCCTCACCTGCTCTCCCCAGCGCCCTCACCTGCTCTCCCCAGCGCCCTCACCTGCTTGGCCTGCCCGCATCTGCTCGCCCTAGCGCCCTTACCTCCCCTCCCCTCACTGCCCGCATCTGCTCGCCCTAGCGCCCTTACCTCCCCTCCCCTTACTGCCCTTACCTGCTCGCCCTCACCTCCCCCCGCCTTGCTTCTCTCACCTGCTCTCCTCCTGCCTCTCCTCACCTGTTCACCCTGGTAAAAGTCGTCAGCAGACGTGCTGCTGCAGGCCTCAACTGCTCCCCCCCTGCCTTCCCTCACCTGCTCGCCCCCTCATGCCCTCATCGGCTCCCAGTCACTACCCTCCCTGCCCTCACCTGATCGCCCTCACCTGCTCTCTCCCACACTTCCCCCTCACCTGTTCGCCCTGGTAAAATTCATCAGCAGACGTGCTGCTGCAGGCCTCAACTGCCCCCCCCTGCCTTCCCTCACCTGCTCGCCCCCTCATGCTCTCACCAGCTCCCAGTCACGCCCCTCTCACAGCCCTCACCTGTTCGCCCTGGTAAAAGTCGTCTGCAGACGTGCTGCTACAGGCGTCGCTGCTGGCGCTCTCGCTCTCGCCCATATTCATCGCCATGTTTCCCCCGTCCATGCCGCCCTGCTCCTGCTGCCACCCACGTGTCAAAAAGTACCCCGTGTCGTGTGGGCTGTCTGGGCTTGGCACAAACGCCGCCTGCAGGACCGGGAAAGGGGAGAGTGGTGAGGAGAAAAGGGTGAGGAGTGAGGAGAAAGGGGTGAGGAGTGAGGGGAGAAGGTGGAGAGAATATAGGGAAGGATGAGAAGACGGCGGCTGCTCCGGAAACTTGGGGGAAGAAAGGGTCAGCGGAAAAGGAGAGAGAAGGTAGGTTCAGTTGCGCCTGGCTCCTGCTGCCACCCGCGTGCCAAAAAGTACCCCGTGTCGTGCGGGCTGTCGGGTCGGGACTCGGCACAAACGCCGCCTGCGATAAAGGGGGAAGGAGAGACACACGGACAACGAAGGTGGTTCAGGTGCGCCCTGCTCCTGCTGCCACCCGCGCGTAAAAAAATACCCCGTGTCGTGTGGGCTGTCGGGACTTGGCACAAACGCCGCCTGGAGGACGGGGCGAGGGGCGAGGGGGGAGAAAATAAAACATGAGGGATGGAAGAAGCAAGAACGACGGAATTTTAACCATTCGCAACAATCTGGGGAAAAGTGGCGGGAAAGCCTGACTTAGCAGGTGATTCAGGTGCGCACGCACATGAACCCACCCATGCAACCCCAGCCCCACCTGCTCCTGCGCGAGCGTCTCCCAGCGAATGCCGTCAAAATAGGGGTGTGCCTTCACCTCCTCCGCTCCCCTCGCTCCCAGCCGCAGCGATGGCTCTGGATGCAGCAGCCTGATCGGAGGACCGGGGAGGGGGGGAGGGTGGAGTTGATACACGAGAGAAAGAGAGAATGTGAGGGACGAGAGGGAAGAATGACATACATAGAGTACCAAAACAGAATAGGCATGATGCACATTGTATCCCTTGTGAAAAATGATAAACTTTTTCTTCAACACCCTGAGCTGAGGCAAGGAGACGTACTTGTCAATGAGGTCCATGGCCTCGTAGGACATCTCCTCAGGCACCTCAGGCCATGGGATGTCCCGGTTCAGAATGTTGTCAAATATGATCTGCACGCGTTGAGCCGGAAGGGAGGAAGGGGGGAATGGATAGTTGGAAAGACAGAGAGAACGGAATGTGCACATATGCGTGCGTGCGAAAGGGTGTGTGTGTGTGCGTGTGTGAAGGATTGTGGGGGGTTAGACCAGAAGGGACAGTCAGCTTGGCCAAGCAGCTGAACAAATGGGGGGGAAACACTAGGGGCTACAACCTGAAGCAACCAGAGGAGAACTAGGCAAGAGTGAAGGGTAGAAAAGACAACGAAGAGAAAGCACAAGATCACAGACGAATGCCCCGGCCTCTCTGCTCTGCTCACCTCTGGGGAGGGCGCATTGAAGGGGGGCACACCGCAGAGCAGCTCAAAGAGCATCACTCCCACCGCCCACCAATCCGCTGTGGCGCCTGCACAATCGATGACACGACACGCGGAGGGAGGTGCAGCGAGATAGAGAGAGAAGGAAGAAGACAGGGAAGGAAAGGATAAGGATGAGCAATGCAGCAGCGGGAGGATGGGAAGGAAAGTCTGCACGTGTGTACTGCCAGCACCAGCTCCTCACCATCTTCAATCCCAAGCCCCACCAGCCGCATCACCACCCACCACCCACTATTACCCATCACCACCCACCTCCACCCATCCCCACCCAGCAAAACCTAACGTCACCCACCATGGCCCGTGCCGAGCAGGATCTCCGGAGCAAGATAGTCCGGAGTGCCCACCGTCTGCTCCTTCTTCTTCTCCACATCCGCCGACGCACTCCGCCCGGCACCCTGCAGCGACTCCACCTCAGCCTTCCACGCTGGCGACGCCGATCCTCCCCCCATCCCCCCCCGACCTCCCGCCCCTCCCACACTCCCCGCCCCTCCCCCACCCACCATCCCCGCGCCGCCCGGAACCCCCGAATAAGGCGACGTGCGGCCGGAAGAGGACGACGGGCGGGACGACGCGCCGGACGGCGCGTGCGGGAAGTCTGCCGCCCGGTCGGCCGCCCAGAGGGGCGACGTGGGGATGGAGGCAGAGACTGACGCGCCGGAATCTATCGACCCGGATTTGGGGAAGCCGAGGGCGGCTGGGGGGTGGGAGGAGGCGGAGAGGGCAGCTGCAGCGGCTGCAGCAGCAGCGGAGGCAGAAGCGGCGGCGGCAGCGGCGGCGGCGGCAGCGGTGACGTTGGGTGAGGGGGGCTCGGAGGGGCCTGTGGTGGCGAGAGGGCCGATGGCAAAGTCACCCGTGCTGTTGAAGAGTCCCATCTGAGAGAGCCCAAAGTCCGTCAGCTGTGGGGGAAGGGTTGGGGGAAGGAGATGAAAAAGCACGTGCAGGACGAGTTTGAGAAGGAACCAGTGCTGATGCACTGACAAGAAGAGGCTGGCTGAGAGAAGGAAGGAAACATGTTGAAGCGGGCAACACAAGCAGCGAGTGGCATGCACGGGTTGTCGCTGACATACAGAAGCCATAATGTTGAGATCAAGAAGGCCCTTGCTTTGAGAGTGAGCCAGCCTCACCTTGATGTGGCCATCGTATGTGATGAGGAGGTTGTCGGCCTTGAGAATTCTATTTTCCTAGCTAAAAGAAAGCCTTATATACTCGTTTCCCTTTTGCTGAAGTGGATTCTCTAGCGCTGCTGCCTCTCCAACCATGGGTGACGAGACGACGAGGTAGGTACGGAGGCGCGCTCACCTTGATGTGGCCGTCGTATGCGATGAGCAGGTTGTCGGGCTTGAGGTCCCGGTGGATGATGCCACTCGCGTGCAGATGCTCCAACGCCAACACCTGGTGGGGATGGGCGGACCGCATGACGTGTGGGATGGGTTGTTGTGGCGTGAGGCGTGAGGCGTGAGGCCTGTGGAGGGAGAGTGATGGCCATGGGCTCCTCAAGGCAGCCAAGGATCTTTTCGTTTTTGTCAGATAACGAAGGAATCACAGCAGAGCAGGGCAAGGCAGGGAAGGGCTAGGACGAGAACGTACGAGTTCAGCGATGTAGGCCTTGGCCATGGGCTCCTCGAGGCAGCCGAGGTTCTGCAGCAGCGAGAAGAGGTCGCCCCCGTTGAGATACTCCATCACCAGATAGAGGTTCTCGCGGCATGTGAACGAGTAGAAGCACCGCACCTGGAGTGAGGGAGGAGTGAGAGAGCGGGGAGAGAGAGAGAGAGAGTGTGTGTGTTACTCCATGACCAGGTACAGATTTCTCGCGGCATGTGAATGAGTAGAAGCAGCGCACCTGGCGGCAGAGGCAAGAGGCGAGGGGCGAGGGGCATGGTAGAGACGTGGGGGTGATGCCATCACATGAAACGAGCGCATGTGATGAGAGTGCTACTACGAGAGTGAAATGATGGGTACCGACGAGCATGTGAGTGCATAGAACATGGCGGTGCACAGCGCAATGCACAATAACATCCCGATTACCAGACAGCATTTTCGCGCGAGGAGAAAGAGCAAGGCATGCATGCGTGCGTACCACAAAGGGGCTGCGCACGGATGCGAGGATGTTGCGCTCCGCCTGCACGCTCTCCACGGCGTTCTTGCGCACCATGTCCGCCTTGCGCAGTACCTGGTATCCTCGCACAGGGGCAGAGAGAGGTACAGAAGATGGGCAGGGGCGGCACAGGGTTGGGACAGGGGAGACAGTGGTTAACCTCAACAGGTTGTACACACAATAGAAGGGGGGAGGAGGGAGGATGCACCCATGCATGCACCCGCCCACACATGCATGCACCCATGCACGCACCCGCCCACACATGCATACACATGCATGCACCAGCCCACACACCCACCTTGATGGCAAAAAGGTCCCCCGTGGTCTTCTTCTTGGCCAGGAACACACGCCCATACGCGCCCTTGCTGATGGGCTTAATCAGCTCAAAGTCGTCTATCGTCGTGCGATCCCGCCCCGCCGCCCAACACCCAGCCATGCACCCACACACCCACCTTGATGGCGAAGAGATCCCCTGTAGTTTTCTTCTTGGCCAGGAAGACACGCCCATACGCGCCCTTGCTGATGGGCTTAATCAGCTCAAAGTCGTCTATCGTCGTGCGATCCCGCCCCGCCGCCCAACACCCAGCCATGCACCCACACACCCACCTTGATGGCGAAGAGATCCCCTGTAGTTTTCTTCTTGGCCAGGAAGACACGCCCATACGCGCCCTTGCTGATGGGCTTAATCAGCTCAAAGTCGTCTATCGTCGTGCGATCCCGCCCCGCCGCCCAACACCCAGCCATGCACCCACACACCCACCTTGATGGCGAAGAGATCCCCTGTAGTTTTCTTCTTGGCCAGGAAGACACGCCCATACGCGCCCTTGCTGATGGGCTTAATCAGCTCAAAGTCGTCTATCGTCGTGCGATCCCTCCCCGCCGCCGAAGCCGACGACGACGCACCGCCACCCCCACCCCCTCCACCCCCACCAGCACCACCACCCCCACCAGCACCACCACCCCCAGGACCACCACCACCAGCAAAGCCACCAATGCCGCCGCCACCGATGCTGCTACCGCCGCCCATGGAGGCGTTGGGCGGGGTGCTGCGGGCGCTGCGGGAGAGGTGCAGCACGTCCTCCCCGTCCTCGTCTGCATACTCCATGCCCTCGCCCCCCTCCGCCCCCCCGTAGCCCCGCACTGCACTCCCCGCTGCTGCGCCCATGTGATGATCTAGGATGTCCCTCAGGCGGTAATACTTCTCCCTGCCACCAGGGGAGACGCGCAAGACACGGGGGGTGGGGGAGAGGGAGGTGCGTGCGGGAGAGACAGGAGGAAGGAAAATATATTTGAGTCGACTTGCAGGCGACCCATGTGGTGGTCCAGGATGTCTCTCAGGCGGTAATACTTCTCCCTGCCACCAGCGGAGCAGTGCAGGGGGAGATACGGGAATGAGGCTACGGGAGTGAGGCGATGGGGGGTGAGGCAACGGGGGAGAGGCAACACAAGTGAGGCAATGGGAGTGCGGTAACAAGAGCTGACGAAAACACCATCAAGCAAGCATGCAAGCCCGAGCAATCGCACTCACTGCAGCAGCTTGGTGATACGCCGCCCGAACACATCAGTGGTAAGGAAGCCTTTGAATGTTCTCATGACACACAAGCAAACCCACTCACTGCAGCAGTTTAGTAATGCGCCTCCCGAAGACATCAATGGTGAGGAAGCGCGCGTCGTTGGTGCGGAGCAGGTCAGTGAGGTCCCTCATGTCCGTCAGCAGCAGCTCCTCTGGCTTCTCGTCCTCCAGTGACACATCAGCAACGTCCTGCGCTATGTCCGCCAGATCGTCCATCTGATACAAGGTGGGGGGGGAGGGGGAGGAATGTAGGACGAACAGACCGAAAGCACAGAGGGATTAGAGTTGACTCACACGTCCTCCAGTGACACGTACGCCACGTCCTGTGCTATGTCCGCCAGGTCGTCCATCTAAGAAAGGGGGAGTGCAACAGGACACAAATGGATAGATTTCTACCTCAGCCCCTTTCCCCGACCAACAGCAGTTCTATATTCTACATCTTGATTTCCGAAAAAATCCACGACTGAAACTTCAAACCCCAACTCACCAGAGCGATCTCCTCTTGAGCCACCATGTGAATGTGCTCCTCCATCAACTCCCTCCCGCCTCCCGCCAGAGCGCTCTTCAGCAGCGACGACCCGCCCCCGGGGCTCCCATACCCCCCCTGGCCGTCCCCCCGCGTGCCCGCCGAGCCTGCTGGCGACGTGGGCATGGGGGAGGCCGTACCCGCGGATAGGAACCCGCTGGTGGAGGTGGCGCCGCTCATGCTCGTCACTGCGCTCATGGAGGGTTCGTATTGGGAGCCCTCCTCGCCTGCTGCCTGCAGCTGCTGCTGCTGCTGCAGCTTGTGCTGCTGCTGCTGCTGCTGCAGGTGGTGGCTCACGTACGACCAGTTGGACACGTTGCTGCTGCTGCTGGCTCCTGCGCCCTGATGCTCCTGATGCTCCTGATGCTCTGCATGCTCTGGGTGCTCCGGGTGCTCTGGGTGATCCTCTGTGGGGCTTATCGGAACGCCCGGGTGCAACGACCCGTTTTCTCTGCTGCAGTGCTCTGCTGCTGCGTCTTGCCCGCGCATGTGCTGCTCCTCTCCTCCGTACCCATCCGTCCCCTCCCCGACTCCGTCTCCTTCTCCCCCTGCTGCGCCGCCTTCGTCCCCCTCGCGCATGTCTGCATGAGACACCATACTGCTGCCTAAGGGAGATAGGAACCTGCCACCACCCTGCTTCGCCCCTGCAGCACCTACCCCTACTCCCATCGACCCCACCTGCTGGGAATGCGAATCCAGCCCTGCGGTTACTCCAGACGAGGCCGACCCGCCAGCAGCAGACGACGAGTTGGACGGCACTCGTTGGAACGACATGGCGCCCAGCCGCGACACTTGCTCGTTAGAGATGTGATCCAGGCCGTCCGCTAGCCGCCTGAGCCGATCGTCGATCGAAAACTGCGCCGAGTCGCACCGATTCGCGAGCGCGCACAGCCGCGAGTGCTCCTGTAACTGTGTAACATTCACCTCCTCCTCGCAAATCCGACAAATCACCACACACTCCTGTTCCCCCTCGTTCGGAACCATCCCATCCATGCCCTCCTCCTCCTCGTTCTCCCCCTTACCCCAGTACCCATACTTATACTGCACTCTTCGCCCCGACACAGATCTCATCATAGCTTTCTCATGCAAATAGTCAAAATCCTCTGCGTGATTACCCGAGGGCGACAGTGGTTCTCTAGCTCCACCATGCCTCCGGCTCTCCATGCGCTCGTCCTCCCCGCTTGGAACCCGCACGTCCCACGCTCTGCTGCTGCGCCCCTCGCCTCGTCTGTGCGCCTTCTCCGACTCCCCCTCCCGCCGCACGTCCCCCTGCCCCTGCCGCGCCCCTCCCTGGCCCCCCTTCCTCCCCTCAATGCCCTCACTCCCTTTGATCCCCTCCTGCGGAACCGCCATGCTCGCTTCCGCCATGCTCGCTTCCGCCATGCTCGCTTCCGCCATGCTCGCTTCCGCCATGCCCGCTTCCGCCATGCTCGCTTCCGCCATGCTCGTGTCCCCCGCCTCGCCCCATGCTCCGCCGGTCCCTGTTGCCCCTGCGCCAGCTCCCGCGGAAAGGGCGGCTACAACCTCACGTTCCGCTCCTCCCGCTGCGCCTAACGCCGCACCTAGCGCTGCCGCTACCTCTGCGTCTCCCGCTGCGCCCATCTCCCGAACCGCAGTTCCCGCCGGTGCTACCGCCGCTGCTGCAGGCGCCAGCGACGGCGCAGAGTCGTTCGGTCGGGACACGGAGGCCTTGTCACGCGCGGACAGGCTGCGGAAGGCGCGCTGAATCTCCTCCTCCTTGCGGATCTCCGCCACCCGCCCCCACAGCAGCCCCCGCGCGCTCGTGGACCCGTGCACCTCCGCGTCCGCTGGCGGAGCGGGGGGACCTGCCGTGTCCGCTTCTTGCCCCCCCATGAGCATGTCCGCGCCCGGGGCGAGCATCTGCGCGTGCATCTGCGCGTGCACCTGAGCCTGTGGCTGCAGCTGCTGCTGCTGCTGGTGCAGATCCTGTACGTGCTGCTGCGGCACCCCGGATTGCACCTGATCCTCCTGCTGCTGGGTATACTGCTGCTGCTGCTGCTGCTGCTGCGGCGGCGGCGGCGGCGGCGGCTGCAGCGGCGGCGGCTGCTGCGGCTGGAACAACTGCTGCAGCCACCCCTGTTCCCCACTGCTGCTCGCCAGAGACACGTCCCCGTCCTCCCGTCCATCGTCCATCAGTCGTTTACTCTGCATAGGCGATGGGGACATGGACGAACTGCTACCCTTCCTGCCCGCACTCTTGTCCCTCCCCTTCTCTGCCTTCTCCTTGCCCTTATCCATCTTCTCCTTCCCTTTTTCCCTTTCCTTCCCCTTCTCCTTCTCCTTCCCTTTCTCCTTCTCCTTTGCCTTTTCCACCCTATCCTTCCTCGCCTCCTCCATCTCTGCCGCTTCTTCCTCCTTAACCGAAGCCAAAAGCTCCTCGAGCTTACCGCTAACCATCCGAACCAAACTCGTCACTCCCCCAATCAGCCCACCGGACAACTTCTTCTTTGTCGAACCAAGCCCCGAACCTGAGCCCGAGCCTAATCCCAAGCTCGAGCCCAGGCCCGACGAGCCAGAAGGCGCAAGTTGGCTGGAGGAGCTCGAACCCAAACCTGATACCGAACCTAATCCCGAACCTCCGTCAACACCCGACCCCGCGCCAAGCCCGGACCCAAAACCTGTTCCGAACCCAAATCCGAATCCAGTACTCGCGCTCGCACTCGCACTCGCACTCGCACTCGCGCTAGCGCTATCGTCTTGATTAAAATCCCCCCCAGGCATGTAGGTACCGTCGTCTAGAGCCCCTCTCATCTCCGCCACCGCGGCACTCCAGTCGTCCATCATATTCGACTTACTCTTGCTCCGCTGCTTCCCCTCATCCTTGCGCGCGCCCAGCCCCAGCCCCGCTCCCCCCTTCTGCTCCGCCTTGGGGTCGCGTACCCGCCAGTCCGCCGGCGCGGGGCACGAGTCCCACCGGATAATCGACCGCTGCGGCGGCTGCTGCGGCTGCTGCTGCTGCTGCCGCTGCAGCCGCGCCTTCTCCTCCGGCAGCTCCGCGGGGTGCTCCGCCGAGTGCTCCGCGGAGCGACCTGCGGGGAGCTCTGCGGGACGTTCCAGCGGCTTCGATTTAGTAAACGAAGAGAAGTGAGTCGCCGCCATGGACGCTTGCGATCGCAGCGTCGACGGCAAGCCAGGCGGGCGGTTACGTACCATCGGCGTCGCTAAGACCTCCGCGCCCCTATACGGCCCCCCGTACGCTCCCCCGTACGGCGTCTCCGCCTCCGCTTCCTTCTGCGACTGCAGCAGGCGCGTGCAGCGCGTGAGAATGAAGAGCATTTTCATGTGCAGCTGCTTTAGGGTTCCCATGGGAAGCTGCTGCCGCGCCATGTTCAGATCATGCACGATGTCTTCGCACGCCGATCCGAACTCATCTGCGTGCATGCGTAGGCATTTCTCAGCTAAGTCCTTAAGATAAAGCGCCCCTTGCTCCCATCTGGATGACTCCGGCGACATCAGAAACGACGTGAACGTTGACGGGTAGGCGTTAGAGGGAGAGACGGGCGACTTGGGAGGCGTTCTGGGCGGCGCGGCGCCTGGGAGGTTCAGCCGCTTGGCGATGTCGCTAATGAACACGCGAAGCTCGTCGTCGACTTTTTTCTTCGCGTATTCGAGTGCTCGTTCGAGATTGCTCATTGACCCGTCCTGCCTCGCGGAGCAACGCAAAGGGGAAGGAAATGGAGCAACGCGGGAGGAAAGGAAATGGAGCAATGCGGGAGGAAAGGAAATGGAACAACGCGGGAGGAAAGGAAATGGAGCAACGCGGGAGGAAAGGACAAGGAGCAACGCGGGAGGAAAGGACACGGAGCCTCGCGGGAGGTGACATGGAGCAAAACGAGAGCCAAGCACGCGGAGAGACACACGAAACGCACAACCATGTGAGCCAGTTGAAGGTGCTTGGAGGCGTGTGGATGGAAAGAGCAAACAAACGCAGGGACAAAGCAGCAAGCAACCTCGCACAACCCTCAACGAGAGAACCAAACAAGCAGCAATGCGCCTTACGCTGACGTCGAGGTGCGACACGCGAATGCTGGGCCGCTGCGACGACAGCGCCATGGGGTGCGCCTTGCCCGGCGTCATGTGCTTATGCCCGCCGGTCGTGCGGTTCAGCGAGCTGATGCTCTCAAGCATGCTGAAGTCCATGCTCAACGGCATGCCCGTCATTACCTGGAGATTTATATTTTTGGGAGGGGGGGAGGGGGCGAGGGGTGATCAAAACAAGGTGACTTTTGAGTCGACTCAAAAGCGAGCTGATGCTCTCAAGCATGCTGGATTCCATGCTCAACGGCATGCCCGTCATTACATGGATTATTTTTTAGGGTCGAAACAATTGCACAAAACGGAAACGCTTTGGAAAGCCTCAGTGGTGGTAATGAGATGGAGCGGATGCAGACAGGTGATAAGGAACCCTAGGCGACGTCTGCGAACACGCGACCGCGTACACGGATTCGATGAGCGTGCAAGTCGGGGGAACGGCAAAACGCTCTCGAAACGGACAGGCGATGATGGACGAGGATAAAAAACACACGGAGAAGGATAATAACGGGGATGGGAACGAGGTTAGAAACGCACATCGGAAAGGCCTGCGGAGAGAGGATGCATCTGGGAGAGGCCGTTGTGACCCATTCTTAGCGATTCCGCTCTCGCACCGGGATCGGCGATGGACATTCCGTTGCTCTCGCGCGAATGAGCCAATCCGCTACCCTCCCTCGACTTATCCAGTCGCAAGGCCTCAAAGCTGGCTTCCAGACTAGGGTTAAGCTCCCGAGCTCTGTCTGGTCTCAGTAGCGGACTCAAGTCTCTCTCCCTCTCGCGGTTCCTACTCGTCCCTCGCGGCGTCGTCAGCACGTCATGGTAAGCGTTCGGCATTTCGTGCTTCGACGGCCGCTGAGGATTCAGCGACCCCGTTCTTTCCAGCATCGCTCCTACGCTCGCGGAAACTATCCTGCTGATTTTATTCTATAGCTAGCAACAGCGAGGAAATGCATTGAAAGAACGTCCCAGAAGCTGTGTAGCTTCCCTCCCGTGCCGTGACCGTCTCCAGCTACCAACGGACCCTCCGCTCCGCGATCACACGGTCCCAAGTGGGTCTCGAAGTCTCGTTTTAGCTGTTGATGCAATCGCACCACTGTTCCCAACAATCACACTCAAAACCTGTTGGAAGCAGCCAGAGCCTGAGCGGCTGGTGGAGCCATGGAATGGAGTGAAACCCTAGAATGGAATCAGCGAAGACAAGGGTCCGTCCGTCGCAGGGAAGGTATGGGATGATGGGGGTGGTGGTGGGAATGGGTGAGGCAAAGCTCAGGCTGGGGGAGGGGAGGAGGTGGGAGTGAGTGGAGGGATGCGCAACGGACCTTGGGAACTGCGTGCGACAAAGTCCGGCACACTGCGATCAAGCGTGGAAGGGAAGCTGCGATACACACCGAGTGCTGAAAGCTGCGATACACACTGATATCATCCTTGAAAGCTGCGTGCGACATATTCTGGTCGGGGCTGCTGCGTGTGCCCTTGGATATTGTCGCTTTGGCTTGGGAGCTGCTGTGCTGCGTGTCGCACACTAGCGCTTGACTGACGAGGCATGTGAATCGCACTGTCATCGTAACGCTCTGTCGCACAGCCAGTCGCAGTGCCATCATCGAGGAAATGATTTGTGCGACATGGGCACGTGTGGAAGGATCTGTGAGCTTCTCCGTCAGCGGGAGAACTTTGCTCAATTCCGCGGAAGCGTGGTTTTATTTATTTTCGCCACGTGGCGAGCCTATGATCGCGTGAACCGCGATCTGTTTTATTGTTATCACAAACTTCAAGAGAAATTTAGTTAAGTTCTCTACTGCACTGCCCGCGGGCAAAAATAAAACCCCTATGGGTAAGGCATGCGTTAGGGATGCATCAACCCTAAACACCTAGAGGCAAGGTGTTTAGGGTTGATGCCTCCCTAATGCATGCCATGCCCGAATGGGTTTTATTTTTGCCCGCGGGCAGTGCAGTACAGAACTTAACTAAATTTCTCTAGAAGTCTGTGATAACAATAAAACAGATCGCGGTTCACGCGATCGAAGGCATGCCAGGTGGCGATAATAAAACGAACCGCGACTCCGCGGAATTGAGCAAAACTCTCCGTCAGCGGTGAGACGCGATTCCCAAGAACGGCGCGCAAAACCTAAACCAAAGCCTGCTCCATAATGTGACAGCTTACAGTGTTTGATGATTGCGGCTACGAATTTCTCAAGCAACAGAGTAAAAAAAACCATTGCATTTACATCACATAGCGATAACCTTTTACAGCAGTCCAAACAATATTGTTAGTCCATGGTTTCATCCTCGTCGTCATACATCCTCCTCTCAGGTGGAGTGGCATCCACATACTCATCTTCATCACCAACACCTTCACACATATCCTCACCCAAACGCCCTCCAACACGCCCCCCTGCCCTATCCTCCATCTCTTCATCCTCCGTATTTTCGATCCAACGGTCCGGATCTCTCTGAAGCGGAGGTGGTTCTGCGCCTTGCCCTATAATCCATGAAAAGAGTTTGCGAAAGTATAGCACAAAGAGAAAGCTGGAAACGATGAGGCACTTTGGGAAAACTGGAGCGACTGGCATGAGAGGTGAGGTGAGGCGGGTGAATCACGAAACTCCAAACCTCAAGCGCTGAAACCGGTGGGGGCGGCATGGGGGAATCGGAAGGAATCTAGGGAGGGAAACGGGTACGAGAGATGACTCACTTTGATGGGGTGCTAGCCTCCCAGGGGTGGATGCCTCAGTGGGCATGAATCGCCCTGCAGACACATCTGCAGCACCGCCAGTCACCATGCCATTCCCATCCACACTACCCACAGTGTTGCTTCCACCAGCAACACCACCACCACCACCGCCACCGCCACTGTCGCCTCGTGACGCCGCTGCCAGCCGACCAATGGGAAGCTCCTCGGTGGCGTCCTCGCTGTCTGGAACCTGATTGGCTGCCTGCTGTTGCTGGTACTGATCGTGCTGTTGCTGCCGTTGATCGTGCTGCTCATGGCCTGGTGATGGCTGTTGCTGCTCCCTGGGCCACGTGCTGCTTCCTCTTCTCCCACCGCCACTCCCCTCCCCTCCACCCAGACCCTCGCCAGACTTGTGTGCTGTGCCCTTGGCCCCTGCAATGGACCCACACAGGGTAGGGTGGGTAACGCATAGCGTGCCTCTGGCTTTTTGCGTTATGGATGGGTGGGAATGCAAGGCAAATCTAGAAGAAACCGGGGCAGTTTTATGCGTGTAAGGGAAAAGCACGCGACTTAGCAGCATATGCCCAGAAGAATGTTGGCACAGGTACGTTGATCGAATCCACTAGGCTCACAGCACTGATATTGGCACACAAATTGCCCCACCTGCAAGGCCCAAGAGGTCCAGCCGTACCTGAGAGGTCCGACCATCGTTTTCCATGCGCCCAGCCTGCCTCCAGCCTTGCTCCTGCACCTGGATCTTTCAACGGAACCTTCTCAGCACCTTCCTCGACCCTCATTTCATCCCCTCCCTCTTCCTCGCCTTCACCCAGCCCTCCTCCTCCTAAATCTTCTCTGCAGCCCGAGCCTGTTGGATAGGCTTGGTGCGGAACAGCTCCCGAACCTCCATGACAGGAGCGCTGGGAACCTGAAGCTGCAACTGTAGGAGTTCCAGCTTCGGCAGACGCTCGAAAAGCCGAGCCCTTGGGAAAAGGAGCGCCAGCTTCGGCAGAGGCTTGGGGGGTAGCCGCGGCTTGGTGAGCAGGAGTGGCAGGTGTGCCAGGTTGGGCGGAGGCTCGGTGAACGGAAGGGTCAGAGGGCGGAGGAGTGGGGAGCTGGGATTCGAGCATGGTGGCGATGACAAGTCGTGAATCAAAGTCAGATGCGAGTGGTGCGTGTGCGTGGCGGGGGTTGCGTGTGGGGGTCGTGTGAGGGTTGGGAAATCTTGGCATGAGCATGAGAGGGCTGCAGGAGACAAAGCGATAGGGGGAGGGAAGGACAGAGAAGGGGGGGGAGGACGGGGAGGGGGGAGGGAGGAAAGACGGAAAGAGGAAAGAGGAAGGCAGGTTGTGCGAGTGTATCGATAGAAACGTGCGGCAGGGGAGATGAAAGGGGGTGAAGTGGGGGTTATTTGGAGCAGTCGAGGTCACTCGCACTGCAGTGAATGACTGACTGGTAATGCGGAGTGTATCCAAAGATACACTTCAGGGATACACAAGGGGTTGATGAAGACTCGGGAACAGTACACACGCTCCAGCTGGATGGATGAGCATGACAACGTGTGCAGTGGATTTTTAGCCGACTAAAACGTCACCACGTGTGCAGTGACTTTTGAGACGACTCAAACATAAACTTAGGAGCAGCACTCACGCTCCAGCTCGATGGAAGAGCATCACCACGTCCGCTGCTGCCGACTCACAGAACTGCACAAACGCCTGGCGGTGTGCAAAGAGGCCATGGGGAGAAAAAGTGGGGTGGGGGGCAACGGTTGGGGCAGAGGTGAAGGGGAACTTAGTAGAGGACGTCGGATGAGAACAGCGGTAGGGTGACAACTGAAACGCACTCCACTCACTCACTCCTCCTCACTATTTACTCTCCTCCACTACCTTATCTAAATGTTGTTCTTTTTGTCATCTCGTCTCACCTTCACCTCCTTCACACTGAAAGTGACGTCCACAGCATCCCCCCGGTGGCAGTACGCCTCAAAGTGCTCCCCCGGGTCCACCCACAGCTGTGTGTGCATCGCTGCCTCTGGAGACGCCTCCAGCCGCCCGTCTGCTGACGAGCCTGCACGGGAAGCAAGGCAGAACGACACGGGGAGCAAGGCAGACCCAAAGGCTCACAGCCAATCAGTGAGGAGCCTCAAAGTTCTCCCCGGGGTCCACCCACAGCAGTGTGTGCATCGCTGCCTCCGGAGACGCCTCCAGCCGCCCGTCTGCTGACGAGCCTGCACGGGGGAGAGTATGCAGCGAGCAGAGGAGCAGGAGGCAGAACGAAACGCATACAGCCAATTATTGACGCTGCCTCAGTATCCACCCACAGCTGATTTGACACCCCACATGCACCTATGTTTCACCACCATCAGCATGAGTGAGCTTCACATGCCATGCACATGCTCCCACCCACACACTCATGCGCCTATGTTTCAATTCAACGCACCCACCAGCAAGAGTGGGCTTCACATGCCATGCACCCACCCACACATGCGTGCGCCTATGTTCCAACAACGCACCCACCAGCAAGAGTGGGCTCCACATAGCTCCTCATCTCAACCGCCTTCGCCTCACTCCCCCCTCCCCTCCCCGCCGCACCTCCCCCCGTGCCTGTTCCCGAGCCTGTCACGTCCTCAGGATCGGCAGCAATGATGGTGATCTCAGAGAGGGTGGACTGGAAGTGGTTGAGCAGCTGCAGCAGCGCCTTGGGGCGGGCGACTAGGGAGGAGGGGTATGTGGACGGGTCGATTGAGGCTGACAGCACCTCCCTGTCGTTTACACACGCGATGGTGTAGGTCTTGCGCATGCCTGATGGGATGGGGAGGAGGAGAGCAGGGGAAGGGGAGCGTTTTGAGTGGAAAGAAGGAGGAGTGCGTTTTGAGTCAGACATGCGCAGAGTGCACCTCCCCGTCTTTGACGCAGGCATTGCCGAGAGAGAATCACAAACAGGCTCAGAGAGAGAATCAGAGCAGATTTCCTGCTGCTGAATCATGCAACGTGCCGTTTTGGCAGTGAGGCCTAACTTTCAGGGGCAAAGCAAACCAGGCCACACCAGCATGCCATTTCGACAGTCGCCGCCAAAGATCTGCGGTTTGACAAGCAAGGCTGAACGTTCTTGGGCTAGGCTACCACACGTACCGTTCTGGCAGTCGATGATCCAGCGAATGTTGTCGGGCTCCTTGCCATCCGCTGCGATGGTGAGAGTCTGCATGGCTGCTGGCGCCGTACGGAACACTACTAGCACTGACTGCTCCCCCCGTGCATGCACATGCATTCACGTGCACGCACATACATACATTCACGTGCATGGCACGCACATGCACGCACATACACATAGATGGATCCACACAGATGCCCTCCTCCCCTCCCCCCATCCACCCCCAACCCAAACTCACCAACACACACTGAGACTGGGGTATGTAATAGGACAGAGATATATATATCCACAGGGGCATGCAATCAGGACAAAATCTGCAAAGGTAACGCGGAAATGAATTTTCCTGACACGTTGTTGACTTGCCTAAACCAGCTTGACTCGCCTTGACCAACTTAACTCCCATTGACCAGCTTCACCCCCATTGACCAGCTTGACTCGCCTTGACCAACTTAACTCCCATTGACCAGCTTCACCCCCATTGACCAGCTTGACTCGCCTTGACCAACTTAACTCCCATTGACCAGCTTCACCCCCATTGACCAGCTTGACTCACCCACCTTGACCAGCTTGACTCACCTTGACCAGCTTGACTCACTTTGACCAGCTTGACTCACCTTGATCAGCTTGACTCACCTTGACCAGTGCGGAGCAGGAGCAGGTGGGCTGGGAGAGGTTGAAAGTTTGGAAATAGTCCGTGGCGAAGTTGACCACCAGGTAGGCCGTCTTGGCGGTGTTGATGCCTCGCAGCGACAACTGCGAGGAATGGATTAGGGAAAATCAAGAATGAGGCTTTTGTGTTGATTTTTTTTGTTCAAGTTGACCACCAGGTACGCCGTCTAGGCCGTGTTGAAGCCGCGCAGTGACAACTGCGATGACGAGATTAGGGAAAGGCAAGAATGAAGCTTTTGAGTCGACTCGTTATACTGACCACCAGGTATGCCGTCTTGGATTGGATTAGCTGAGGCCGGAAATTTTGAATGGAGTAAGGTTACACACTATCGTGGATGGGTCACGGCAGTTCGTGCTTAGGTTAGCTTGCTTCTGTGTCTAGCTTCCTTCCCAAGCATGATTAGCTTCGGTTTACACCTTCACACACACGAATGGCTCTCGGCTACCACATTCTCACGCATGAATGGCCAAACTATCATTTTACCGATCAATTACCACTTCCGTCCACATCGTACCTCCACAGGAGCTGCCAGGAATGTGATGTAATCGCTGTGAGCCACCTTGGCCAGGCACTGAACTGCTCGGCACAATCCGCGGATCTGCTCGCCTGACAGCTGGCACTCCATTATTGGTTTAGATTCCTAACGAGGATACGTATGAGCCGTCTTCTTGTAACTGCGCGACTGGCTCTGAATGGTTTGAACTTCCCGTTAGGAGACAAAGGATGATCTTCTCGCTAGTTACGGCTCGCTACGAGTGTCTGCGTTAAGAGCGACACCGCAGGAAGAGACAAAAATCGGGCGGAATCAGCTGCTGTTATCGTCAAGCTAAAAGTCTACGCGAGCGCTGGGTAACTTATTGGCTGCCACGTGACAGCATAGGTCTCCGCAGCAGCGACTGGCAAGCGTAACACGGAGAACTTCTGTGAGTCTACTACACACTGAAGTGTCACCCTCTGAAGCATCACTAAAAGCTATAGACGTTGCTAGCGACTCACCCTCCCTCTCCCTCGCTTGCAACGAGCCAGCTCATCCATCCTCTTGTCTGCTTGAAACTGCACTGGACGGTATCCTCGAGTTCTGCGACTGCGTCAGCATGACGATACTCGCTGATGCTGGTACCATACCAACCAAACCAGAAGCCCAACCAATCCCAAAGCCCACGGAGAAACCACTGTTTTCACATCGAAAGTCCCCCCTAGACTAAGCTTCGTTCTCTAAGTGTAGTCTCAACTAGATTATCATACATAGAAATAAAGCATGACAATCATACTTTACTATGATTGGGGGCTGACTTCCAGATAGTACATTCTGCTTTCGACATACAAGTAGAGAAGTGTCAAGAGTAAGAAAACTAACGGGCAAGACCTGCACTAAGCTGCATTACACTTCACCATTCCCTCTTCATCTTGCCTTTTGGCCTGTTGTGCTCAAATCTCTGCTGCTGCAACCATGCCCAAACATTCTTCGTATCAATTCATTAGGATGGAAAGGATGGCCATGCAAGGTGGCAACCCCTGGTCCCAGCTGACTGGAGGTCGCCAGTCTGCATGATTTGAAGGATCGGGGGTCTGTGCACCAGCTGGTTCTACCCATAGAACGCAATTTCTTATTGATGTCGTATAAACATAGACAGTTGAAAAACCTGCCATTTCTATTCCAGAGTTACAGCTACGCTTTACGCCTTGAGGCACTCGTATGCAAGCTCCTTCTCCTCGACGAGCTCTGCTGCTGTGGCGTCCATCTTCGTCCTTGAGTTGGCATCGATTGATAGCCCTGTCAGGATAACGATGAAGTAGAAACATTTTCAGAAACAGCACGAAAATGAATGAGACGACTGGGGACGGTAAGAGCGGATAACAAGGGTAAAGGCCTGAGAAACAGGACGCAAGGAGACTAAGTGCAGGAGGAATCATTACCTTGCACAATGGTCCACTCGCCATCCTTGCAGGTGACAGGGAAGGAATAAATGATGTCCTTGGGAACGCCGTACGAGCCATCAGAAATCACACCCATGGACACCCATGAACCCTGTGGAACGGAACAATCAAAGCATGGATCAGAGCGAAGCGACAAGACCCTCTGGTGATCTAAGCTAAATGCGTAACTACGGAACAGCATAGAAAGGCATATCGTGCAAGCGACCAATACCTCGGGTGTGCCCTTGACCCAGTTCCGAATGTGGTCGCAAGCAGAGGAGGCAGCGGAGAGAGCACTGGAAAACTTGCGAGCCGCAATGATGGCGGCACCGCGTTGCTGAACAGTCTTGATGAATTCGCCATCAAGCCTGCGCACCATTCAATAAGCGTGACGAAATCAATGCTGTGTCTTTTTCTAAAAACTGGGTAGGTGAAATTCATAAAGTTCTTGTTTATTGTGAGTAACGCGTTCAAGCCAGTCAATGTGACCGTTGACGTACCACGCGTCGTCCTTGACAAGCTCGCGCACGGCCTTCTCGCCCTCGGGAGTGACGACGACGGCGTGGTTCACATCAGGGTACTGGGTGGACGAGTGGTTGCCCCAGATGATGGTGTTCTTCACGGTCGCCACCGGCACGCCCAGGCGCTCCGAGATCTGGCCGAGCGCGCGGTTGTGGTCCAGGCGGGTGAGGCACGTGATGTTCTTGGCGGGAATCTTGGGAGCGAACTCCTTGAGGATGAGCGCGTTGGTGTTGGCGGGGTTGGCAACGACCACCACCTGTAGGGATCATGTAGGGAGAGGGAAGCGCAATGATGCATGAGAACGATATGGGTAAGACTACGAGGCTGGACGTGAGCTTCAGCATCAGCACGAGAATACTATGGTGCTGTAATAGCTGACAGTGTTTCTTAAAAAACGAGGTGCTCGAGCTGGCACGCACCTTGCAGTCCTTGTCGGCGAACTTCTCCAGAGCGGAGGCCTGATCGCGGTAGATGGAGACGTTCTTGGACATCACGTCCTTGCGCTCCATGCCGGCCTTGCGGGGGAAGCCTCCAACCATGATGGCCACCTGGACACCCTTGCATGCCTCCTCAACATCCGTCGTCGCGACGACCCCTGAAAATACGAAACGGTGGGACAAAAACGGAATTTCCTCAAAAGAGATCGACGTGATTCAGACGCTATGGATCTACTATCTTAAAATCAGATAGAACGTGCCGGAACAACGGCGTTTCGGACGTTGTTGAGCTTACCGTGAATGAGGGGGAAAGCGGCGTCAATGAGCTCCATGCGGACGCCATTGAGGGAGGTCTCGGCAAAAGGGATATCAAGAAGGTGAAGGATGACAGGCTGGTCAGGGCCGAGCAGAATGCCACGAGCGATCATGGGCACCAAGGCATATCCAATTTGGCCTGCACATGATAACAACGCGCATAGCGATTCCAAGATCAGATATGGTGACTCAAGCTGGTGTCGGAGAAAAACGTTTTCTATGTTTAACAAGGTTCTACTGACCGGCGGCACCGGTGACAAGCACGCGGACGGGCTCAGGGGCCATGGCTTCAAGTTTCGGAAGCTGAAGAGCTGGTCGGAGAAGAGGATAGAGAAAGCTTCTTGAGTCCCAACAAGAAGCAAAAACTGTAATCACAAGATGACGGAATGAGATTCAGCAATCTGAGGTTGTTGAATTTGACGGTTGAGTGGTGGTGATTTTGTGCCTGTCCAGCCAATGCTGAGATGTGGGATGGAGGGAGGGTGGGTGAGGGGACAGACGGGTAGGACATTGGGGTGGAAGACATTTTGGCATCACGCGTGGCTGGCCATGACAGCGGGAATTGAGATGGCATCATACAGAGGGGACAGCCCAGGGTTGAGGGGACATTGGCCATCTGCCACTGGTCACATGGCCTTTCTGATGCCTCGCTGGATTCCACCTACTGACGCAGCTTTCCCCCTCCCCTACAGTCTCGGAAAGATCCCCTCGGTTTGCGGCGCCACGCCACGTCATTGTCACGCTGGAAAAGGTGAGTCCGAGCTCCGTCAGCTGGAGCACGCGGGAGATTTCGGTTCGGGCTTCATGGAATTCTGGCTTGGACACGAGGCAGGCAATGGGTTGTGGGATTCCGAGGCATGCTATGTGGCTCGGAAGAAGTGACGGTGCGCGAGGCATAGGTGACGAGGTCCCAGAATCTCCAGCTCATCAAAGCATCCTCAGAAAATAAATACATAGAATAGAATAGTGCCAGCTATTTTGAAGACTCAAATCTTAACTCAACAAGTAGCGTTTGATTAGATATTTGCTTCAAGCGACGCTAACTACATACATCATTTCTAAAGCAGGTCACCTATCGTTCACCATGTTCCTCCCTACCTTGATCTCCTTCCGTGTTCCGTTCTCTCACAGCCTGCCTCACCCTTCCCCATCCTTTTTTCTCGTGTTCATCCCCGGCCCCAACTGACCGACGAGCACCAAACGATGATTGCCTCCAGCTCACACTCCCAAACGCAAACCCTTTCCCTCCAGCCCCACTTTGCCCATGGCCCTCGCTGCCTCCGGATGGGCAATCTCTTAAAACATCACCTGCACCCCCTGCCCTGGCACCCCCTCCCTCGTCAGACATCAGGGCTTCTATCAGATCCTGCCACCGCTTCTGCACATGCGCTGACGATTCATGCGCCTGCAGCTGCAGCTGCTTCCCACCACCGCGATCAGCACTGCTACTGCTGCCAGCGGCAGTTTTACCAGCCTCGCCACTCTCCGACTGCACACCCTGAGCATCTCCTTTGGAAGTTCTGTCCAAGTCTGACCGCCCCACCTGCATCCCTTCCTCCTCCCTGTCATCCTCCTCCTCCTCCCCCTCCTCTTCCTCCACCTCCAAGTCTGCTACAAGCACAGCAGGGTCCTTGGCATTGGGTATTCCCAGCGTGAGACAACGCTCGAGGGACTTGAGATGCTGCAGCTGGCGCTGCTGCTGCAGCAGCGAGGGCTGATGACGCTGCGACTGGCGCTGCGACCCCCCCTCCATCTGGTCCTGCAGAGACGGCTGCTTCTCCTGCAAGTCACCTGCTGCTGACGCTGCTCCCGCTCCCCGTTCCATCACCTCCTCCGCTGGTGCTGTCATCACAACTGCTTCCACCTCGCCCTCTGCATCAGCATCAGGTTCGTCCACCGTCTGGCACAGGCGAGAATTGCGGTTGGGGGTGGGGTTGGAATTGAGGTTGGGTTGGGAGTCGGGTTTGGAGTTGGGATTGGGGTTGGGTTTGGAGTAAGGGGTTGGGTTTGGGTTTGAGGTTGGGGTTCGGTTTGAGGCACACAGTGGAGACTTATAGTGCCATAAGGCCTTATCTCCAATCCAAACACGGTCTCGCTACAGGACGACTCAGTACAGGAAAGCAACACATCTGTGCACATTGAGGTACGCAAGGGGCTGGACAAATGGCAAAGGCCATCCAGCTTTATCACTTGCTACAATCACCTGCATGACTCGGTGCATGTGAAACCACACCAGCACAACTCCGTACAGTCAACTGAATGACTCGCTACAGTCACACCAGCACAACTCTCTATAATCACCTGCATGACTGGGTGCATGTGGCATCGCACCTGCAGGAACTGGTGCAGCTTGGCAGCGATGAGGGGCAGCGTGTGGTCGCGAGTGGCGGTGCGGTGCGGGGCATGTCAGTATATCTACAATCACCTGGATGACTGGGTGCATGTGGCATCACACCTGCAGGAACTGGTGCAGCTTGGCAGCGATGAGGGGCAGCGTGTGGTCGCGAGTGGCGGTGCGGTGCGGGGCATGTCAGTATGACTACAATCACCTGGATGACTGGGTGCATGTGGCATCACACCTGCAGGAACTGGTGCAGCTTGGCAGCGATGAGGGGCAGCGTGTGGTCGCGAGTGGCGGTGCGGTGCGGGGCATGTCAGTATGACTACAATCACCTGGATGAGTGGGTGCATGTGGCATCACACCTGCAGGAACTGGTGCAGCTTGGCAGCAATGAGGGGCAGCGTGTGGTCGCGTGTGGCGGTGCGGGACAGCACCACGTGCTCAAACCGCCCTTCCACTGGAATGGCTGTCAGCGCCACTGGGGGAAGGTCCTCACAGCTGCCGTGTGCCATGTGTCATGTGTCATATGCCATGTGCCATGTGCCATGCCATGTGCCATGTGCCATGTGCCATGCCATGTGCCATGTGCCATGTGCCATGCCATGTGCCATGTGCCATGTGCCATGCCATGTGCCATGCCATTTGCCATGTGTAAAGATCCAGGGGAACACGTAAGACGTGGATGGGAGCGGAAGAGTGAGAAGTGAATGGGATGGGAGTAGGAGGGTACGAAGTGGATAGGAGTGCGAGGGTCAGAGGTGAATGGGAGTACAAGGGTGGGACGTGGATGGGAGTGGGAGTGTAAGGATTGGATGGAAACACAAGAGCTTGTCAGGAGAACTGAGAATGGCCTGCAATGACCGATAATTTATACGAGTTGGGGAGAAAGCTGAGCATGTGGTAAGCTCACAAAACTAAGTGTAATATATTTCCGCCTGTATCACCTGCAGCGGCGTGTGTAGAGCATGTGATAGAGACGGCCGGGGGCATAGAGCCTTCTGGGGTCCGCCAGTCTCCTCTGCTCCGGCACACACGTGTCGTGGCAGCATGAGTACTGCAGCACACATGGTAGACTGTGTGCGGACAGAGGGGGGGATGAGAGAACAGGGAACTTATGAGTTGACACAGGGAACTTATGAGTTGACACAGGGAACTTATGAGTTGCCACAGGGAACTTATGAGTTGCCACAGGGATCCGCCAGTCTCCTCTGCTCCGGCACACACGTGGCATCAAGAGTACTGCAGCACACACGGCAGACTGCGTGTGGAGGGATAAAAGAGGGGGGGGGGGGGAGGATGTAATGCGAGGGAGGGAGAGCTAATGAGATGGAGGAGGGGGAGGCGAGAGAGGAGAGGGTGGATGAGAAGGTAGCGGACAAGCTGGGAAAGGGAGGTGGTGAGGGCAGGGAACGGAACGATAGGGTGCAATGGGCCAGGGCGGGAGGGGGGGGAGGAGGAGGAGGAGGAGGAGGAGGAGGAGGAGGAGGAGGAGGAGGAGGAGGAGGAGGAGGAGGAGGAGGAGGAGGAGGAGGAGGAGGAGGAGGAGGAGGAGAGTATGGGTGTGCATGAACACACTCATACCACAGAGAAAACAAATAAATGAAAATAGAGCAAGAAGAGGAAACGCACGGTAGTTGAGGGGCCAAGGGGTGCTCCTCACCAGAAGGTGACTCCAAATACTAGAGCGAGCGGGTGCGCCACACGGGGAAGAAAGTCATCCTGGTGTGTGCGTGCACGTGTACATGCATGCATGAGCACACATGCATGCACGCACGGATGCACACAGCGAGAAGAGAGAAAAGAGAAAAGAGAAGGGAGAAGAGGACTTGGGGTTGGGGCAAGCAAGGATCTGCCGGAAGCAGCACAAGCAGAGGAGGGCACAGATAGAGTTCTCGCAGAGGATTCACAGCAGAAGAGAAGGGGGGCACACAGCAGGAGGGAGCGGGAACACACACTGGGACGACAAACCCGCCTGCAGCACTGCACGGCCCACCTGCGGCACGACGGACGTGATGATATCCGCATGGCGCACTCCCAGCACTAGCATGCACTTCCCCACTCCTCCTCCCCGTCACACACACCTTCACGCCTGCTCCAAGAGCAAGCCCAGCCCAGCACGCACCCACCTGCAGCACAACAGAGGTGATAATATCCGCGTGGCGCACGGCCAGATTCATGGGGGCACACACACGTGAGGGCATGGCGTGCCCGGCACGAAGCACCCACCTGCAGCACAACAGACGTAATGATGTCCGCGTGGCGCACGGCCAGGTTCAGCGACGCACAGCGCGGCGGCGAGAACCCGACGCAGCGGATGCGCCCTCTCCTCACTCTCCCCAGCTCGCGCAGGTTGTTGGCCAGCACCATGGCTGCCAGCGCCAGCACGCCCGCTCCTATGGAGTGCCCGGTGATGCCCTCTTAGTGCTAGCATGCTTTCTCCCCCTTCCTCCACGAGCAAGCCCAGCCCAGCACCCACCCACCCACACACCCACACACCCACCCACCTGCAGCACGACAGATGTGATGATGTCGGCGTGCCGGACAGCCAGATTGAGTGACGCGCAGCGCGGCGGCGAGAACCCCACGCAGCGGATCCGCCCCCTCCTGACTCGCCCCAGCTCGCGCAGGTTGTTGGCCAGCACCATGGCTGCCAGCGCCAGCACGCCCGCGCCTATGGAGTGCCCGGTGAGCGTGAGCGTGTGCTAGCATGCATTCTCCCCCTTCCTCCAAGAGCAAGCCCAGCCCAGCACCCACCCACCCACCCACCCACCCACCCACCCATCCACCCACCCACCTGCAGCACGACGGACGTGATGATGTCGGCGTGCCGGACAGCGAGATTGAGCGACGCGCAGCGCGGGGGCGAGAACCCAACGCAGCGAATCCGCCCTCTCCTCACGCGGCCCAGCTCGCGCAGATTATTGGCCAGCACCATGGCTGCCAGCGCCAGCACGCCCGCTCCTATGGAGTGGCCGGTGAGTGTGAGCGTGTGCGAGGGGTGGCGGCGCAGGAGGCGCTTGAGATAGTCCATCTCGAGATCCAGGAACGCGCCCGCCGCTGCGAGTAAACCGCAGTGCACGTAGCCCCCGTCAAACATCTGGAGGACAATGGGGGGAGATGGGGGAAATGGGGAGCGGGGGGAGGGGGAGAGGAGGAAAAAGGGGGACAGGATAAGGGGGAGAGGGGGATGGGGGAAATTGGAGAGGGGGAGATGGAATGGAGGAAGGGAGTGGCTTGTGAGTGGGAGCGTGTGCGAGGGGTGGCGGCGCAGGAGGCGCTTGAGATGGTCCATCTCGAGATCCAGGAACGCGCCTGCTGCTGCCAGTAGCCCGCAGTGCACGTAGCCCCCGTCAAACATCTGGGGGGAGTGGCAGGAAAAGGGGAGGGGGAGAAAGGGGAAAAGGGAGGGGGGAAGGGGGAGAGGGGGAAGGAGAGCGGGAAGTAATGGCTGAGCTCTTTACTGATTAAGAGTGGGGCAACGGAAAATGGAGCGAGGCAGGAGGTCGAGTGCAGGAAAGCAAAGGCAGAGGAAAGTATAGAGGAAGCGGGGAGCGGGCGGGCGGGCGGACGCATGAGCGGACCTGTTTGCCCTTGCGGTTGTTCCTGAGGATCTCGTAGTCCGACAGCTGCGTCAGGTGCAGGTGTATGTTGAGTTGAGTCGAGTCAAAATACACCTGGACAAACGGGGAGCGTTCGTGAGGATGCACGGACCTGTTTGCCCTTGCGGTTGTTCCTGAGGATCTCATAGTCCGACAGCTGCGTCAGGTTTATTCCGCGCATCGCCACCGTGATGTCTTTATTCGCCTCGTCGAGGTACACCAGGTACGACGGGCACTGCCCATCCGTCTCCCGCTGCTCCACCTTCCGCAGCACGCGCGCTTCGATCAGCTCCCGCTTCCCCTTCGCCGGACCGTCCTTGCCGTTGGATTCAGACCCAGCCTCTGCTTTGGACCGAGCCTCAGCTTCCGGATGCGAATCAGGAACCGTTTTCTTTGCCGTTTGCTCGCGCGTGGCGTTGGTGTCGCATGGTTTGGATGGTTTCGCGGAAGCGTCGGTCTGCGAAGAGATGTTTCCGTGATCGTCGGAGACGGACTCTAGAAGCTGCAGGCATTTAGGTAAGTCGGGTTCGTACGACGCGAGAATGAGCGCGGCGAGGCGCGGAAAGTCCGCCATTTCGTCCTTGGACGCGGCCGGCCAGTCGCGGCTGGCGTCCGCGCCCGTGCGGACGACGCGGTGGATGGCCCACCCGCAGCACGCGCATCCCCACACCGCCAGGCAGCATGGTAGCATTGTGGCTGCTGCTGTGGCGTCGACGAGAAATGTCGAGTGTGTCGAGTGTGTGGCTTGGTAATGCGTGCACGTGAAAGTGAGTTTGAATTGAGACGTCTCTGGACGAACCCGTTTTCACGAATGTGTGTGTCGAAACTGTGTTTTTTTCTGCTACGCGACCCGCGTAACATGCACACCCAGCAGCGCGAAGCAGTAGCGGGGTATCATTTTGTCGCGTACGGAAACGTGGTTAAACAGATACAAGTATAGGATCTACCGTGCTCGCAGAATGGAAAGCAACCCACGTCTCCAAAGGATCGCTATTACAAGACTGCGAAATATCCATGCCTCACTTGTCGCGCAATTTCCCAAGTCGCTAAACCGGAATGCCGTCAAAGGAGCTCTCTACTACAAACAGCCATAGGAGCAGGAGGAACGCAAGGATGGAGACTTGCTCTGGCTCTCCGACAAGACCCTATGCTCCACCAACCTCGAGACATTTTCGGGTTCACTTCGCATTTTGGGAGCATCTGTGAACACCCCACCGTCATCCACACTGTACGGAGCGACAGAGGCGATCGTCCCAAGGAATATTGGCGCTGCGCGGCAGTCCCAAGAAGGACGTGCAGGATAGGACGGATTATGCCCCTCGCCAATACTATTGGTAGCCAAGTACATTTTCGTGCCAAGTACAGTTGATCGTTTACAAGCAGCCAAATTTAATTAATTACATGTACATGTATTGCCCCTCTTTCACAGCATTCTCGGCACCTCTTCGTTCTTCCTCCTCTTCCTTCTCTCTCTCCTTGCGCCTCTCGTAAGCATGGTCGTCAGTTGGCATCTCGTACCGACACAAAGGACACGAGTTGTGCTCATCCTGTTCGTGAAAAAGAGCACAAACACAACACCTCGAATCACATTATGCGTGGTATGCACCAAAGACTCGCATAAATAAACAAGCGTAGGATGTGACGTGAACAGATAGATGCATGCAATGCTTATCAACATTGCACACGAAATGACCGCATTACGCAAGCTCGTGCTTTTCAACTCACCAGCCATGGTTGCAAGCAGTCCACATGAAACCGATGGCTGCACGGCATCTCCCTCAGCTTGTCACCAATCTCCCACTTCTCCCTGCACACACTGCACTCGTCCACACTCCCCTCCCCCGCCTCCATCTTCCCCTCCCCATGCACCCCCTTCCCCTCCAACCCAACACCATCCCCGTTCTCAGTCTTGCTACCACTGCTGCTACTGCCAGTACTACCACTTACGCCACTACCCGCCACCACTCCTTCTCGCGTCCCAACCCCCTCTAAAGGTACCACGCCGGCCTCACTGTACACGAGCACAGGCAGCTGCTTCACCGCTCTCTTAGACGCAGGCGGGGCGCCAGGCGGCTGAGACGCCTGCATGCTGGCTTCTAGAGCCTCGGCCAGGCCGGGAGTCAGCAGGTCATCAGCTCCCCCTCTTGCTATTGCATCCCGCAGCAGATCCTCCAATGTTGTTCCGCCCTGCAAGAGCGCTGCAATGGCTTGATGAGGGGGTTGCCCGTCTTGTGCATCTCTGCCTTCTTGCTCGGGAGTGCCGTCAGCGGCGGCATCCAGGTCCCTGTGCGTGTGCATGGACAAGGACAACGACAGGATAACGCACTTTCGGATCAGAACAGACTTTTGAGGCGCCTCAAAAGCCTTGTTGCTCGGGAGTGCCGTCAGCAGCGGCATCCAGGTCCCTGTATGTGTGCATGGACAGGGACAACGACAGGATAACACACTTTCGGATCAGAACAGACCAACGAAAGGGACCACGACGAGGACACGCCACAGCGCCTCCTCCATTTACAGCCAACAACACGTTCGGAACTTGCGAAGCACGAAACACAGCTATCAAACGATAAAAACAAACCAGCCCACCAGCACTCACGAGGCCACACGCTCATCCACTCACGCACCTCTGCTGCTGTGCCGCTGCCAGTGTTGTCAGCAACGTCTGAGCCACCAGCCAATCAGGCCGTGGCGACTCTGCTGCTGCTGTCAGCTGACCCTCAAACTGAAAGGAAGGAGACGAGGCAGCGAGCATGCTTCCCCACCTCCTCTCACTTCTCTTGCCCTCCCTGCTCCCTACTCCCCTTCCCCATCCCCTCGCTCCCTGCCTACTCCCTGCGGCAAACCTTCTTCCCCGCCTTCCCCCCCTTCCCCGCCTTCCCCCAGGAACTCCTGTGCGGACTTGATGTGCTGCAGGACGCGGTTGCGCTCCGCTCCCTCCCCCAACACGGCGCTGGCCGCGCGGAAAAGGACGAGACCCGCCGCCCAGAAGCCACGCGTCGTGTAGCGGGTCTTGAGCAGGGTAGCTGCGCGATGGACGGCTGAGAATATCTGAAGGGTCAACGGTGGATCATCCGGAAGGGTAGGCCGTATCGTAAGAAATCATACGTAACAGTAGTTTATGCACTGAGTTAAAAAGCCTCACAGCATGAACCACCCTGGTGAAATAAGACTGCTCGGTGATTCTATACACCCGCGCGACTGAGATCCACCACGTGCGACGTTTTAACTATCGTCCAGATTTCGGAACAAGCGACAACGACCTCACCTTCTGCTGCTCGTCCAGAGAGGAAGAGGGGTACTGAGAGGCCACTAGAGCTGTTAGATCCTTCACCGCTTTCTCGAACGAGCTCTTCTTCGCCATAAGCTTCGCTAGGTCATTCGCAGTAATCACATCGGAACCAGGAGGCGTATGCCGGCTGCTTTGGCTACCACTCGCCACGCAAGCAGACGCCATGTCTGTCAAAGTAAGAGTTACTACGGTCAGCCAGCGTTCAGGTGTGCCTTGTATAGGTTTGTCTGAAGTCGGAAACACGCAACACGTGAGAGTGGTAAACTCAAGTTCGGTGAGGCGATTCGGGGTGGTGGGAACCTTGCTGACGTCAACGACGGGTACTTCTAGGCAATTAGTTGAGCCTAGAAGCTTCACCACAATTGTTGATAACCAAAGCAAGAAAAGGAGGAACTTGATAGAGAAGAGGTGATGAGTTATAACGGAGGAAAAAAGGGGTGACACAAGGGAAATTCCCAAAGGGACAGAGGACAGGTAGTGGAAAACACTTAACTAACAACACCTCATAAAACTTCTCAAACACAGAAGCTAACTTCTACACGTATTCACAAAGTATGGCGCATCTGTCCATGGAGCACCCACCCACCCAACCTCCTCCTCAACTTCCTCCCGCTCCACCTAACAACACCAGGGCCCCTCATCATTGGCACCGCACACAAAAGAACCACACACATTTCTTAGTCCACCGTGTCTTTATACGTGATTGGGAGGCATATAGTGTCAGGAAACCTCTGGGAACGCCATTTAAGGACACAGAGATACTCCGTATTGCACCAATAAAGCGCTGCCGAAAACCAATTGCCCCAGATGTGCTTGTGTGAATTACCTTGGATTTCCGTGGAACATTATTATATGCAGCTATGCCTCTCAGAGTCAAGTGTACATTTCTTGCATAATGCACGGAAGTATTGTGCGTCTGCTGCCTGCATCTAGCCCAGTGCCGAGGGCAACTGCCTTGACCCAAGGAGTTGCCGAAATCCATCAAGGGCCGCCAATGACGAGCAGTCTGCAGCAACTGCTCGCTGTAAAAAGGCATCGTCGCTGCAATCTGTCCTTCAAACGACGCAGTTCAGCCATGAATTTTCTTGTGCAGGCTGTGAGTGTCACAGCCACGTTGAAATGGAGACGCACACTGCCCTCCACTTGGATTTTTCCACTTCGGCCTTTTAGCTTCTCTGGCAGATGAACCTGAGCGAAACGTCATAGCTGTCTGGAGGTCGGTGGGGGTGAGTTACAGATTCATACACAGCGATACAGATCGGTAGGCCTTGCGTGAATCATCAATCTCGACCTCGTACGTGACGACAGCAGTATGCATGTGATTGCCACAGCAGCACTCCGTGCTGCTGCTAGCAACGCCCATCACCGCTCCCGGCGCCTCTCCCAATACCAACCAATACGACTTGGCGTTTTGATCGAAGAGACCAGGGGTGCAAGCATGCGCCGGAAAGACGAGAGAAATTCGCGAGTGGGGCGCAGAGGGTTGGGAGGGACGGGAGATTCAACGCACAGTGCCAGACAGTGCAGCGAAGATGCTTCGTTGCGACCACTTTCTAGAGGACCTGAATTACGCGATGGTGGAGGCGTTACTGCTCGCGCTACCGCGCTTGGCTCATTCACTTCACCACCTGCACTAGTGCGTCCCATCCCATCCCATCCCAGTGGAGGAGTGATCCCTCTCAAACTGACTGCAGCGCAGTCACTGCACACCTCGTCGTGCTCGTCTCGTCTCGTCTCGACGTCATCGCTGCATACCTCGTCCGTACCGGCGTTCCCGTTTCATGCGGTAGAGAATAAGAGCCCGCACGTCTGTCCCTTCCCACCACCATGTTAGCACACCAAGCCGAAGTACCTGCAGCCTTATTTATCCATGCCACGCTGTCCGCTGCGAGCGAGCGCTGCCAGCGAGCAGCAGGTAGTTCGTCCTTACTAGCCGCGTCGTCTATTCCACTGGAACGTAGCAACGGATCCGAGTCGCCCGCGGAAGGAAACGAGTGTCGTTCCCAAGGCCACGAGCGCCACGAACCACAGTCGGAGATCGCAACCACGTCAGCAACTCGAAGATTGCATCCAGTCAGCAGCTCACCTGACCTTGGCATTGGCGGCACACTTAACCTAATTAGCAGCACCCCTGCCGCCGCCTGTAGCGCTCCTAAGAGCACATTCTCCGTCCCCGCCGAGAGCGTTAGCTGCTGCTGCGGCGAAGAGGCGACGCCGCCGTTAGCCAACTCGCTAACCGTTGAAGCGAAGGTAATTGCATCCAATCTGATCCATTCGACAGATCCCGCAGCAATCTCAACGTGCGCTGCGCATCCCGAGCCCGAGATACACCTCTCGGCACCACGGGATAACAGCCTTCCACCTCTTAATCGCAAAGAGTATGACGAAGCCGTCCGGCGAGTGCTGACGAAACCCTTTGATCCGGACGACTCTATTCTTCCGAAATCGCGCTCTCCGCTTCTCCCGGAGCACCTGACGCTGCGCCACGCGGCCGTTCAACAGCCGCCGTCGATCGTTTCTCGAATCGGAGGTTACTGCTCCGCCGTCGCCGCCGCGCCTGATACTCCCACCGCCGCAAGCCCCGCCGTTTCTCCAGCCGCGGGGAACGGTACAAGCGCGGCCGCTGCGGTGGCGGCGCGTGTTGCGGGGACAAGCACGGAACCTGATTTGGCGGAACCTGCAGTCCTTGCGGAACCCGCAGTGCTCGCGGAACCCGCAGTGCTCGCGGAACCCGCAGTGCTCGCGGAACCTGCAGTGCTCGCGGAACCCGCAGTGCTTGCGGAACCTGCAGTGCTTGCGGAACCTGCAGTGCTTGCTGAACCCGCGCCGCGCAAGAACGCGCCCGGGATGCAGTTCCAGGTGGTGCCGCAGGGCGCGCGTCCCCTGGCTTCGGCGGAGGCGCTGAGCGCGATGACGCGCGCGGAGCTGATGGCGGAACTGCGGAGCCTGCAGGCGGACCACGAGAAGTACCGCCAGGAAGGTACGGTGTGGTTCTGACTCATGGTGGGGGATGGGCATGTTCCGTCATGGTTCTTCTGACGGTATAGTCTCCTACCGTCAGGATGCAGACCTCCTAGTTCCCCTCACTCCGCTGAAATCCATTCCCCCCCTCGAATCTATTCTCCCTTCCCCCCTCGAGTCCAATTCTCTTATTTATTTCCCCTCGTCTCTTTCCCCATCTCCCCCCATCTCCCCCCAACTCCCTCCCATCTCCCTCCCATCTCCCTCCCATCTCCCTCCCAAATCTTCCCCGTCTCCCCCTCCCCGTGTGGCAGTGGCGTTTCAGAAGGATCTGCTGGCGTCGGTGGGGCAGTCCGTCATCTGCACTGACCTCGCAGGCACCATCACGTACTGGTGAGTTATGAAGCACAGCTGACAGCACGGCACACACAGCTGACAGCACCGCACAGCTCACAGCACGGCACAGCTGACAGTGCAGCACATCAGTACAGATCCGATCTTCATCCCTCTCATCACCTTGCCCCTCTCCCTTTCACCTCGTTCCCGCTCCCCCTCAATCGCCCGCCCAGGAACAAGGCGGCGGAGGCGATGTATGGGTGGAGGGAGGAGGAGGCGATGGGGCGGAGCGTGATGGAGATCACCCCCGCAGACACCACCGTGCAGCAGGCAGGGGAGATCTTCGTCGCTCTCTCCCCCCTTCACCTCTCCCCTTTCGTCCCTCCCCCTTCACCTTCCTGCTTTACCACTTCCCTCAAGCCTTACCCTCCCCCACACCCCCCCCATCCCCTCCCCCACCTCCTCTTCCCAGGAACAAAGCAGCGGAGGCGATGTATGGGTGGCGGGAGGAGGAGGCGATGGGGCGGAGCATAATTGAGGTCACCCCCGCCGACACCACCGTGCAGCAGGCGGGCGAGATCTTCGCCGCTCTCTCCCCCCTTACACCTCTCTCCCTTCACCTCTTCCCTTTCACCCCTCCCCTTTCACCGCTCCCCTTTCACCCCTCCCCTTAACCCTTACCCCCCCTGCAAACCCCCCACTCTCCCCCCCCCACCCCCCCCATTCCCCCTCCCAGGAACAAGGCGGCGGAGGCGATGTATGGGTGGCGGGAGGAGGAGGCGATGGGGCGGAGCATAATCGAGATCACCCCAGCAGACACCACGGTGCAGCAGGCAGGGGAGATCTTCGCCGCTCTTTCCCGGGGGGACGTGTGGCGCGGCGAGTTCCTCGTGCGGCGCCGCGACGGCTCGCCCTTCCACGCCATGGTGCGTGTGTGACGTTGCATAGGGGATGTGGGGGAGGATAGGGGTGGGGGAGGGGAAGCTGGTGGGTGGGTGGCGCGCATGGGGAGTTCCTCGTGCGGCGCCGCGACGGCTCGCCCTTCCATGCCATGGTGCGTGGGTGACGTTGCTTGGGGGGGACAGGGGGCGGGGAGGGGGTAAGGGAGGGAAGGGGGAGGCCCTGGAGGGGAAGGGCGAGCTAGAGGGGGGATGAGTGGCGCGACGAGTTCCTCGTGCGGCGCCGCGACGACTTGCCTTTCTGGACCCCGAGGGCAAGCTGGTGGGCATGTTTCTGACTGAAGCGGTTGCGAAGGCTCGTCACTGTCCCTCTTGCTGCCGCTCCGCTCTAAAGGCTGTCCCCTGTGCGTGCAGGTGACAGACACGCCGATTCTCGACCCGGAAGGGAAACTCGTGGGCGTGATCGGCGTCTCAGCGGACATCAGCGACTTAAAACGCAAAGAAGGGGAAATCCGCGCGCTGAACGCAGCCCTAGAGCAGCGGGTGGAGGAGCGCACGGAGCAGCTGATGCGGTCGAATGAGGCGCTGAAATCGGAGATAGAGCAGCACCTAAGAGCCCAGGAGCACCTGCGGCGCTGCATCCGCGACCTGGAGGCGTCGCGGGATAAGATCTCGCAGCAGTCGGCTGCGCTGGAGCAGCTGGTGGGGCAGCTGAGGGAGGCACGGGTGGAGGCGGAGTCGGCTAACCGGTTGAAGAGTCGCTTTCTGGCGTCCATGAGCCACGAGATCCGCACTCCCATGAATGGGGTCCTGGGTGAGTGGTGGGTGAGTTGGGAGGGGGGTGCGTAGTTGGAATGTGGCATCCCATTGTATGGC